GTTGTGGTGTCTATTGCTGTCCCCTGCCTCATTGTCACCTCCCCTCTCCCCACTTCTTGCTGGCCTGCTGCAAGGACCTTTGGGACCTGTCCATCTACACTGTGTGACCCTGGCTGCCCCCTGTGTCCAGTCACTGACCTGCGTCTGCACGGTCCCTGTGGCCACATCCGGGCTCCCGTTCCCAGGGTGAAGGATGGCCGTTCCTGTGCAGCCTGCCCTGGCCAGAGGCCGTAGAAGGCCAAGTTGGAGATCCACTCCTGGAGCCGGAGACTGGTGTCAGATCTAGGGCTCCCGGCTGCATGAGGCTTTGAAAGGCGCGGGTGCCGTGGACACGTGGGCTTGGGGAGGGACTCATGCATCTCAGGTGGGAACTGGGATGGTTGTTAAGAGGGTCTGGCCTCCCCCCCACCCCACCAAAACCACCCACGATTAGGAGGGGCCCCAGAAGCTGGCAGCTCCTTCCACTTGTTCAGGGTCCACTAGAGGGCGCCATCCTCCCGGCCTTTCCCGGCCCTCCTCCCACCATGGCAGGTGCACAGTGGAGTCCATTTTTTTCCCTTTAATGACTTAATAATTTAATCTTCTTATTTTCTCAGCAGAGTGTGCTTTGGACTTCCCTGGATACGTTGGGACATTACTGATCAGATTAATTAATACGAGTTTCACAGCTTGGAAAGCCAGCTGCATGCACTTCGGCAGACTTTCCGTGGCGGTCTCCATTAAGCACATTCCTCTAATACCGCGTAAACCTCCGCAGGCTCTTCCTGCTGCCGGGAGCCGTCGTGGGCCTCCCCGCCTCCGTGGGAAGCATGCAGCTTGTCGGCAAGTGGTTTGGCTCCGGCTTGCTGGTGCTCCGGCACTGCCCGAGGGGAGGTGCTGCTTTGTTAATTGTGGGCTTGTTGCGGGGCTCCGTGCTACCCCCCTCTTCTGCTGCTCCTAGATGCTGTTCCTCTGTCGTTATTGACAAGAGCTTTTCATGATGATTCAGTAGAATCCAGGACTGCTGAGTGATGGACATGTGACAGGTGCACCCTCCGAAACCAGGAAAGCTGAGGGCTCACACAGCATCTGCTGGCAAGTTGGGAGGCAGGTGCCGTGGGGATTGGTGAACTTGAGCCGAGGCGGGCCCTTGGAGCCAGAGGAAGCTGGGTGTATGGAGGGAAGACGATGGAGGGGAGTGGGCAAGCGCTAAGATGTCCCCAAGGGCCAGCTTTGCGGTCCCGGTGGGGGGGGGGGTGGACCTAGTCCCGTAACACACTCCTGTTGGACATGGTGTCCCTGTGGACAGTGTCGGACCTCAGCTTGTCACCAGGGACCCTGGGAGGCACCTCGAGCTGCCATCCGGTGCTTTCTCTGACAGCTGGTGTTTTGGGTTCTAATTCGGGACTGATGAATGCCTGGCTGTGTTGCTCAGGCCCACGGGGTCCCAGGCAGCAGACTCAGGGTATCCCACATGGGCTGGGCTTTCCCGCCTGTGCAGGGATTCCTCTGGGTTGGTGTCTTTGCACGGGGATGGGAGTTGGCTGGGGGTTCTGGACAGGTGCCCAGTGGAACTGTCCGTTGCGAGCTGGCACCTGCAGATAGCTGAGGCTGTCACTGTGTGGCCGCCGTGCCTGGTGGGGCATGATGCTGAGCTGCTCCCTGGTCCCTGAGCGGGTGCTGATGGTGACAACCACAGGGAAGAGGAGCCGGTGACGGCTGCTGGTGCTGCAGGCTTCGCGGGGCGCGGCCATGGGGCGCGGCAGCGGTCATGACGGCCTTCTCATGGGCTCTGTGGTTCTTCTGCAGTGAATGTGGAGCCTGTTCTTGGGGCGACGCGAGGGCTGAGGTCACACGGCTGTTCTCTGAGGCACCTCAAGAACAGCCACTCTTCCCTGGCTGGCACTATCCCCAGCTGGGCAGTGGTGGCTCCTGGTAGGTGGGAGGCGCAAGGGCCCGTGACCCTGGCTTCTTCGTGGGGGAGGGGAGGAAGGCAGTGGGGGCTGGGAGGGGATGGCACGGGTGCTTGGGGAGGGGACATTGGTTCTGAAGGAGGTGGGGCGGAGGGTGGGTCTGCTGTGGGCTGTAGGTGGAGGCCTGTTCTGAGGGCAGGTTTTCTGACACTGTGGGGAGGGTTGGGTAGAACCCAGCAGAGGGCGGTGTGATGTCCTTGTCGCCAGCACGCCAGAGCGTGGGGGCCTGAGGATGCCGCCTGCCTGGAGTGGCTGCAGGGGTCAGATGAAGCAGAGCTCAAGGCTTTTGTCTGCCCACCATGCCTGCAGGCGGCGTGCCCACCAGGCACTGCCCACCGTGCCCACAGACGGTGTGGTCCTTTGTGTGGTGGCAGGGCTGCTGCCTGCAGCAGCTTTGTACAGGTGGCCAATCTGACCCCGGCCTCGCTCCCGGCAGCCGCGCCTCCTGTTCTTTCGGGCAGTGTTTCTCCCTGGTTCTAAGGTTTTTCTGATCACCCTGGGCACTCGGTGGGGTGGGGGGGATGGAGAGAGAAGGGCTGAGGGAACAGTCATGTCATGCTGGCTTCTGCTTTGTGCCCGCACGCGCCTTTGTATTCGGGCAGCTTTGGTGTTGGGCCCAGCGGTGGAGGCGGTGGTGGCAGCTGGCGGGTCTCGGTGCGCACCGGGAGTGCGGGGCTGGGCTGGCGGCTCAGGAGCCGTGTGCACCAGGCTGCCTGGCGTCCAAGAGCCACCTCACTGTAATTGGGTTCTTGGAGACCTGCGGCGGGCAGGTGGGCAGGTGGGAACTGTCCGTTTCCTCCCAATTAAACAGCCGCAGGTGGGAGGTTTGGCAAAGTCTGTCTGGGTCGTCCGTTTCTCTCCAGAATCTTCTTCCCAGTCCCGTTTCTCTGATGCGCATGCCGCTGTATTTGCTGGTTGGTTCATTTCGCATTCCACAGTGCTGGTCCGGGCGGGGTCCCAGGCAGGACGCGAAGCCATGGTCAGGGTCCCCAGCGTCGCCTCCCGTTGCCAAATCCCAGGTTCATGTAATGGTGTCAGGGCTGGCGTGTCTGCAGCTCTCCCAGCCCGGGACAAGGGCCTGCGTGGGTCTGTGGAGGACACTTTCCTGGCAGATGTCAGGGCCAGGCTGGACTGGGATATGAACCCTCCCCACCCCCCAGGCTCTGTCGGTCACTCAGTCGGAGGGCCGCTCCTGCAGTCTTGGTGTGATGCCCTGAAGGACAGGAGCCTCGGGCTGCTTGACCCCACCCCCGTGTGTTGCTGGGAGCCTCTGTTTCAGGGGGCAAAAAGTCCCACAACAAGAGGCTTAGGGACAGAGCAGAGGTCAGAGGTCAGCGAGGTCTGGAAATGGCCTGCCTCAGGGAAGGTTCGATCCAGCACACAGAGGCCTCCACGCAGCTCTGTCCACCTGGTGGGCACCTGCAGAGTCAAGGGCAGTGGGGAGCATGTGGACTGGGTGCCACCCACTGCCTCTAACTGGGCAGTGTGCTGGCTGGCTTTGGCCTGGGTGCCTGCTCCAGCCACAATGGGAACTGTGGGCGTACAAGTGGCTGTGGGCGGGACTGGTTCTAATTGCAGGGGTGAGTGACGGCGGAGGGGTGAGGAGGGGGAGCAGGCCAGTTGCTAGGTCAGCAGCTGGCCAGGGACACACCTGTGCTGTCACGTGGACTTGGGGTGCTGTCATGTTGATTTGGGCATCTGAACTTGGCCTGGGGCCATGGGATGGAACTCTGTATCAGTTGATGAGGCTGAGCAGGAACTTCTGGTCTGGTCCAAGCAGAGAGCGCCCCGTGCGAAATTGCATGCAGAATTCAATGACTCTAAAGGCTGACAAGGCTTTTCCCCGGTGGGCGTCCTGCGTGGCGAGGTCAGCTTGCACTTGCGTGAGGCGACCCCAGGCTGCCTCTTGCAGGGTTCATAGGTCCCTGCATCCGCCCAGGTCTGGTGGGAGCTGCATCTCGTCCCAGTGGGCGTGCTCCTCCATCCACCTTGGCAGCCCTGGAAAAGGGGAGACTGAGGGAGGGCTTGGGACCCAGCGTGCGGGCGCCCAGCGTGCGGGTGCCCAGTGTGCGGGCGCCCAGCGTGCAGTGTGAATGCTCCTGCCCACCAGTGCCTCTTGCAGCAGCTGTGGGTCTGACGGCGGCCGTGGTCTGCTTTAGGTTTTATCTGGGTCCTATTTGAACTCCTCTGAGCTGGAGCTCTTTCTTGAAGTACAATCGGGTTTATTTTTAGCCTTGTGCAGACCTTTGTAGCGGGGGAATTTAATTACACTCTGCCTAGCCATGAGCCGTCCAGGGCCACGGAGACCCAGGATCCCCGACTAAGTTCTCTCACTCTGAAAGGGGGAGGACTGGGTTGGGGTCCCGACGGGAAGCCTCCCGCCCCTTCCTGGCGCCCCTCCTGGCTGTGTCTTTTTTGGGGTTCCTCTGACCCTGCTTCAGGCAGGCCCCCCGCCGGGTGATCTCCCGTTTTGCTGTGGTGGGAGGTGCAGGCAGCTGACATCCTGAGAACAAGGACAGAACAGGGCCCTGGACCGCAGCCTCTGCTGGTCCTGCTGGCTGAGACCCGGTGGGCAGCTGCCCCTCGCCCTCTCCAGGGCCTGGAGACCCTTTGTGTGATGGGTCTCTGGCAGGTGTGGCCGATCCATGCGGCCTGGCGAGTCTGCGAGTACGTGTGTCACTTATTAAGGCCAAAAAAGACCTGGCCTGTTTAGTGTTATTTTTGATGTTTAAGGTGGTGTGGAAATTTCTGTTTTTATGTGACCCAGTTTCCAGGCTTTGGAAAGGCTCGTCCCTGCCCCCCTCTACCCCTGTCCCCCTGATCTTGGCAACCAGGCGGGTGCCCCTGCCCTTCTCAGGGCGCTCAACTGCGGCTCTGACACTCAGATAAGGGGACAGCTCTGGGAGAGAGAGAAAGAGAGAGGCAGGGGAGGAAGGGCGAGGTGAATGCAAGGTGGCCGCTCAGGAGCGTTTGTTAAGCGCTCTGCTCTGACCGGTAGCTGAGGCCGCCCCTTCTAACCTTCTCTGCTTTTCTGCTCTCACCCAACAGTGAACGACCTGCAGGAAGAAGGCAAGAATGTCATCAGCTCGCCCATGGCCCCCGCAGTGGACGTTCACCCTGAAGACACCCAGCTGGGTACTGTGGCACCCCATCCCCCCAGCTAGCTGTCACGAGACGGTTGGGCTCCGGGGGTCCCAGCTTGGCCTCTGGGTCTGATGTCACGGTGGGGGGCTTTGAGGGTCCTGGTTCCTAGCTCAAATTCATACTTAGAAAAATGCATAGCACTTGCCTTGTGGTCTGCCTGGCCTGCAGGTGTGGGGAAGGCAGCGAGCGAGCAGCCAATGCCGTGGGGGGCCTCGCAGTCCCCAGAGGGGCTACCCGGGAAGCCCCAGGGCCAGCAGGGGGCAGAGGCCAGTGGACAAGGCCTTCTGTGTGGTTTGGATGAGGACGGGCAGGGCGGGTCAGCAGGTGCAGAAGGTCTGACTGGTTTGCATTGTCGCAGGGGCCGAGGAGCGGGTCAGCAGGGGTGGGAGGAGGTGGGGCTGGGCCTGGACGTGGGCTCGGCAGGACACATGTGCCTTCAGGGGTAGAGCCAGCCAGCCCTGGAGGGACAGCAAGGCCTCTATGAGAACGCGAAAGTCAGCCCGTGTTGGTACTGGACACAGCTGCCCTGAGACCTGGGCTTGCCACCTGGGGCCTGGCGGGAGCAAGGTAGTGTAGGGACACGTTTTCATGATGGGGCATCTGGGGCCCGGCTGACCCGGATGGGGTTAGACTCCTGGGCTGAGGGCCCTGGCTCCAAGGGAGGCCATTGCCCATTGCTGCCTGTGGTCTCCAAGGTGAGACTGGGACAGTGGGAGCTTGGAGCTCATGTGCAAGGTGGGGCTGGGGCAGCCGAAGCTCTGAGCTCGTGGGGTACCACCTCAAGTCCAGCTACCAATCAACCCAGGGCCACAAGTTGGGCAACGCCCAGGGTCCTGCTGGGCTGCGTGGCCCATTCTCCTTTCCTGGTTGATCGTTTCATGTTGCCCTCCCCCCATTTAAAAAAAATTATTTATTTTTATTGGAAAGCCAGATATACAGAGAGGAGGAGAGACAGAGAGGAAGATCTTCCGTCTGATGGTTCACTCCCCAAGCGGCTGCAACGGCTGGAGCTGAGCTGATCAGAAGCCTGGGGCCTCTTCCGGGTCTCCCATGCAGGTGCAGGGTCCCAAAGTTTTGGGCCGTCCTCGACTGCTTTCCCAGGCCACAGGCAGGGAGCTGGATGGGAAGCAGGGCTGCCGGGATTAGAACCGGCGTCCATATGGGATCCCGGGCGTGCAAGGCGAGGACCTTAATCACTGCACCACCGCGCTGGGCCCCTTTAAATGTTATTTTACACAGACAGACAGACACACACACACACACACACACAGAATGTCTACAATGACTGGGTTGGGCCAGGCTGAAGCCAGGAGCCAAGAATTCCTTCCAGGTCTCCCGTGTAAGTGGCAGGGGCCTGGTCCCCTAGCCAGCCCCGTTGCCTCTCATGTTTTCGTTAGTGGGGGACTGGAGCCAGGGGTGCACCCAGTTCCTGTGACGTGGACTGCCTGGTGGACCACCTGCCCCTGAGCACTTGGGCCTGTAGCAACCCCACATGAGCTGGGACAGCCTAAAGCATCTACAGCCATTGCTGTGTGTCCCCTGGAGGGCTGGTGCCATTGCTCCCAGTTGGAGCCCTGATTTATACACCCTAAGAGGTTGGGTTTATCCAAACCGCTGAGGGAGGGCGGTCCTCTCCCAGGGGGCCCTGAGCTGCCCTCACCTGCTCTCCTCTGCCCTCACCCGCCCTCACCTGCCCTCACCCGCCCTCACCCGCCCTCACCCGCCCTCACCCGCCCTCACCCGCCCTCACCTGCCCTCACCCGCCCTCACCTGCCCTCACCCGCCCTCACCTGCCCTCATCCGCCCTCACCTGCTCTCCTCTGCCCTCACCCGCCCTCACCCGCCCTCACCCGCCCTCACCCGCCTCCCTGCCCTCACCCGCCCTCACCTGCCCTCACCCGCCCTCACCCGCCCTCACCTGCCCTCACCTGCCCTCACCCGCCCTCACCCGCCCTCACCCGCCCTCACCCGCCCTCACCTGCCCTCACCTGCCCTCACCCGCCCTCACCTGCCCTCACCCGCCCTCACCCGCCCTCACCCGCCCTCACCTGCTCTCCTCTGCCCTCACCCGCCCTCACCTGCCCTCACCTGCCCTCACCCGCCCTCACCCGCCCTCACCTGCCCTCACCCGCCCTCACCCGCCCTCACCTGCCCTCACCTGCCCTCACCCGCCCTCACCTGCCCTCACCTGCTCTCCTCTGCCCTTACCTGCCCTCACCCGCCCTCACCTGCCCTTACCCCGTCCTCACCCGCCCTCACCCGCCCTCATCCCGTCCTCACCCGCTCTCACCTGCCCTTGCTGTCTTCCTTTCTCTTTCAGCCCCTGCCCTCTGGCTCGGGGCACCCCGTGCTGGGCTCTCTGCTTTGCCATTCCCAGCATTCCTGGGGCTGGTGTGAGGGTCGGCGCCCCAGCTTCCCTGCTGCTCCCCACTCCTTACTTCCCACAAGCGCTGACCAGGCTTCTCTTGTCTCTGGCAGAGGAGAATGAGGAACGCACCATGATCGACCCCACCTCCAAGGAAGACCCCAAGTTCAAGGAGCTGGTCAAGGTAGGCTGTGCTGCTGTGTGGCCTGAGTTTGGGATTCGGGCCTACAGTGCGCAGAAAGGGCAGAAGCAGGGCGCGGGAAGGGGTGAGTGTTGTGGTGGGGATGTTGGCCAAGGAGGTGGGGTGGAACCCCTGGGAAGGTCCTTGGGGGCAGCACTGAGTCCTGTCGTCCCCTCTGGACCGGCCTGGGGTGACCTCTCGCAGCACTGCACAGCTGCTTCCTGGAACGTTGGAGGGGGCACTTGCAGAGTGGAGTGTGCGACCCCGACCCCTTGCCACCTCTGCCACGAGCTGTCAGGTGCACCTGCAGGCTGCAAACTTTGGTGTTTTGAATTTACAGATTTGTTTATCTGAAAAGGCAGAGTGACAGAGGCAGAGAGGTCTGCCATCGCTGGTTCACTGCCCTTATGGTTGCATCGACCCAAGCTGGCCAGGCTGGTGCCAGGAGGAGCTCCTTCCAGGTCTCCCACATGGATGCAGGGGCCCAGGCACTTGGGCCGGTTCCACTGCTTTCCCAGGTGCACAAGCAGGGAGCTGGATGGGAAGTGCAGCAGCTGGGACTTGAACCACCATCCTTGTGGGATGCCGGGTTGCCGGCAGCAGCTTTACTCACTGTGACAGCACCAGCTCCATAATGGAGCTTTTGTCCCCAGTGGTATCCAGTGTGGTCCTGTACTGCCCCCGCCCTCGCTCTTGGTGCTTCTCTGGGGTACAGCTCCCCAGAAACGCATTGGGGCTCAGCGTACCTGCCGGTGCTGGAGAACCAGGGTACGCTGGGCCCACATCCCCACCCCGAAGCTGCTCGTGTCACAGTCCCTGGTCACTGTGCATGCCCTCTTGCAGGGCAGCAGTTAGGGGTCCTCCAGGTGGGCCAGACACCTGGGGAGGAGGCCTTCTGGCTTGTCACTGTTGGGCTGTGGTGGTAATGGTGGGGCCCCTGATGTTGGGGGCTGTGGTGGTAATGGTGGGGTTCCTGAGTCTCTGACCTCAGCCGATAATCAGCACGTGACTTGTCTGGCTTCAGGGTGGGAGTGGGAAGAGTGAGTGCTTAACTGCCCCAGGTCAAGGCCATGGACAGGTGTGGCTTGTGGAGGGGGCAGGGGGTGAGTGTGGGAGGCTTGGCAGCTGCTGGGGCCTCAGGCCGGCCCTGCGGCCTGTCCTGGGGGTGCCACTGGTCTGGACACGCTGTGCCCAGCACGGGCTGTAGGGCACGGGGAGCAGGGCACGGAGCGCAGGGCACGCTGAGCAGAGCACAGAGCGTGGGGCATGGAGTGTGGGCAGTGCCTTCCTCTCCAGGAGCTCATTTCATGCCTCATCTCCCCAATTATTGGACAAGATTCTTCTGGTCTTCCAGTTCCGCTTCCCTCCTTCCCCACGAGGAGAGAAGGCTCCCGTGGGCGTGTGGGCATTGGTGCCGTGGGAGCCGCCTCATGCTGCCCCGGCCCGCCGGCCTGCCCATTGGGGAGTGATGAGGCTAGAGCTGTGGGTCCTGGTGTGACCCGAGGGAGCTGGCAGAGGAGCCAGGTTCCATCCACTGCAGCCGGCTCATAAAAGGACGTAATGGATGGGCTGCGAGGGCACCATTAATCCCGGCCTGGATGCTGCCCACCCGCGGGGCTGGGCCTGTGGCTGAGCTGGGAATAGCGCCCGGCGCTGTCTTTGAAACCTGTGTAGCGGCTGAGGAAGGTGGGCCGCCTGGGAGGGAGCAGGTGGGGTGGTCCCTGGGCTGATGGTGCTCTGGGGCAGTGGGGGTGAAGTTGTGTGGCAGTGCACCTCCACCTCTCTCTGCTGGGCTTGGGCTGTGGCCAAGATTCTAGTCTCCTGTCCAATGTTAGCTTAAAATTCCTCTTTGAAGATTTATTTATCTATTTGAAAGGCAGAGTTTCAGAGAGAGAATTTTTCATCCATTGGGTAATTCCTCAAACGGCTGTTTGCAGCCGGGCTGGAAGCCAGGAGCTTCACCCAGGTCTCCCACGTGGGTGCACGGGCCCAAGCACTTGGGCCATCATCTGCTGCTTTCCTGGGCTCAGTAGCAGGGAGCTGGACCAGAAGTGGAGCAGCCGGGACTTGAACCTGTGCCCTTATGGGATGCCGGCACCACAGGCAGAAGCTCACCATCCTCCCAGTTCTACCTGCTTCTCCCAGATCTCCCCGACCCCCCTCTGCTCTGCTCAGCCCAGATGGGGAACCACTTCCTCAGCATCTTCTTGGGTTCACCTTTAGGCTGCTCTTCCTCCGCCCCTCTCTTCCACTTCCTGTCCTCCCCGCGCTCCCCTCTTCCTGGGTCGTTGCCTCACCTGGAGTCTCGGTGTCCAGCCGCCGCTCCCGCCAGTGCCCGAGGTCACTGTGTTTCCCGACTGCCGCCCCTCCCTGGTGGGGGGAGAGCTCAGTTCAGCTTTGTCCGTCCCCCTGCTGTCCTTGTCACTCCCCATGTGCCCCTCGCCAGCAGGCACCTCCTGGTCCAGCTCTCCCCTCCTTCCCGTCTCTCATCTCCTTCTCCCAAATTCCCTCTAAAAGACCCAGCCTCAAGGAAGTCAGTATTTTTTTTAAACTAATTTTTAAAAGATTTATTTTATTTATCTTATTAGAAACTCAGATATACAGAGAGGAGAAGAGACAGAGAGGAAGATCTTCTGTTTGTTGATTCACTCCCCAAGTGGCTGCAACGATCCGGAGCTGAGCTGATCAGAAGCCTGGGGCCAGGAGCCTCTTGCGGGTCTCCCATGCAGGTGCAGGGTCCCAAGTCTTTGGGCCGTCCTTGACTGCTTTCCCAGGCCACAAGCAGAGAGCTGGATGGGAAGTGGGGCCGCTGGGACATGAACTGGTGCTCATATGGGATCCCAGTGTGTGCAAGGAGAGGACCTTAGCCACTAGGCTACCATGCCAGGCCCTAAGACTAATTTTTGATGTACAGGGAGATCATAGAATTCCCGCTATCCCACCCCCCACCCTGTATCTTGTCCCGGACCCTGCCGCCCCAACAAATCCACATGGACAGAGTGTCACACTGACCCGACACGTGGTCATCCCTGGGGCTCCTGCTGGCCCCGCTGCCTGGGTTTTAGCTGATGTCCCTGGGCCCTGCGTGATGTCCCTGGGCCCCGCGTGATGTCCAGCCCACGTGTCTCAGGCTTCCCTTGTCTTTACCCACCCGGGCAGTACGAGTACGGCCAGGGGTTTTGTGGCACGTCCATCTGTGACTCTTGTCAGACACCTGTGGTGCCGTCGGCCCTGGGCTTCGAGGGGGCGGAGCTGGCAGAGGCGAGAGGCCACCTTGGTCCTTGTGGTTGACCCCGTCCCCTGGCAGGGGACCCTTGTCTACTGCTGGAGTTTTCTTTATAAAGTGATGACATTCCCAGGGAGGGGGATGTCTGATTCGACTTCCGTCCTCCTGGGATAGGCCCGATCCGTCTGCTTGGTCCCCAAGCTCGGCAGTGCCATGCACCAAGCCCCAAGTGCCAGGGACAGAGCCACAAGGTTCCTGTCCTCGGGGGAACTTGGGGCTCATTGCAACCATCCGGTCTGCTCTCGTCAGCAGGCTGCAGTGTGAGCTGTGGGGCTGGGTGGGGGAGGGGCCTGGCCTGGGAGGGGTGGGTGAAGACGAGAAGGAAGTTGAGAGCCACAGGGTGGGCTGAGCGTGTCCTGGCTATGCGGGGAGGGCAGGCCCAGGGCACAAGAGGTAGGCGTTGTGCCGTAGGCCAGGTCAGGAAGCAGAGTAGGCAGAGAAGGGGAGTCAGGGTGGTGGTTGGCAGTGGTCCTACTGGCTTCCCAGAGCAGGAGCTGGTCTGCAAGAGAAGGGTTTGGTTGGAGATGCCCATGGGGGACTGTGCCAGTGGCAGGGGTGCAGGGCACAGGGTGTCTGCTGAGGTTCTGGGTTGGAGGGGTAACTGGAGGAGAGTGAGGACGAGAGGCTGAGGCTGGGGGACTTGGGTGGCCAGAGGAGGGCGAGCCGCAGTGTGATATATCGGGGAACAGACAGGTGCTCAGCTGGGAGCTTGGGCCCGGCAGGGGTCGGTGCCCAGTAGTCAGCGCAGTGGGCGGGAACCTCAGGACTGGCACGCCAGGGCATTCTACAAGGAAGGGTGAGGAGAGCTGGGCTGGATGGCCGGCCCCATCCTCCCTGTGTGGAGACAGCATGGGCACACGCTGCCCTCTCCTGCCCAGCTGTCCTTGGCGGGATTCCCTTCTGGCTGTCACAGCCTAGTTCTTGTGTCATGTTTTTGAGTTAGTGGGGAAACAAAATCTGCCTGCAGGAAACCCGCTCCCAGCTGCCTGCAGCTGTCCCGCCGAGCATCTAGGAGCGGAGTGCTCTGGCCCAACCTTGGCCTCGTCCCAACTGCAGACAGTTCTGGGCCAGGGGCCTTGCACTGCTGTTCCTGGGGTGACCCAGGAGGGCATCTCACTGGCTCTGCCTGCATGGGAGAGCCATAGGTGTCACCTTGCTGCCTGGATCTGGCCGGGTGTCCATTTTACTTTGTGGAAAATCTTGCCCCCTGAGGATCCTGTTTTTGCCACCAGCACCGCCATCCCCCGAGGCGGACCCTCTGTGAAGTGAGTGAGAAGTCTGTTGGGAAAGGCTTTGGTGGTGTGGGCAGGCCTGTGTATGGCCTGGGCAGGCAGAAGGCGACGGCCCATGTGGGCGCTGCACACACGTGGGAGGCCCAGAAGGGCCTGACTCCTGGCTTTCGTGGCCGGCTAGGAAGTCAACCAGTAATGGAAGCTCTCTCGGTAACTCTCAAATTAATAAATTGATCTTTACAGAGAGTAGGAGCTCCCAGCTTGCCCGTGACCCCCATGGCACCCCCCTCCCCGACTCCAGGCTGTAATGGGGCAGGGTGGGGGATCCCCCGCCACCCGCCTGGCTGTCCCAGAGCCATGAGGGCGGGCGCCATCAGTGCACATTCATGGTCACCGCCTACCAAGGTGAGCTGGTGCCCTGTGACTGCCCCTGCCAGGGCCCTCTCGGGGATCTTGTGAGGTCCTGATGTCCCTCTCCCCACAGGTCCTCCTGGACTGGGTCAATGATGTGCTGGTGGAGGAACGCATCATTGTGAAGCAGCTGGAGGAGGACCTGTATGACGGGCAGGTGCTGCAGAAGCTCCTGGGTGAGTGCCCCAGCCCTGGCCAGGTGTAGTCAGCCCCAAGACCCCTGCAGTGTGTGTGGGGGGGACCAGCAGGTGCCGGCTCAGGTCACCCCAGCTGGGCCTCGGTCCTGTCAGCGCATACATGCTTGCCTTCCTTCCTGGGCTGAAGCACACTTCCTCTGTCCCTGCATGGCATGTCCTGCCCTTGAGCTGCATCCCTGTCCAGACACACGGCCGCATGTCCTTGATTCCTTGTCCCACGTGGGGCTGTATGTCACACCTGCTATTCTGCTGGCTGCCGGTCCTCTGTGACCGCACAGGGTGGGGCTCGACCCTGAGGAGCTCCAGAGTCCTTGATCCCACACGGAGTCCCCGTGCATGGGATAGCGCACCTCTTACAGCTCAGCAGGAGGACCGTCCCCCAACCCTGGCCCTCTGCCCCAGTGCAGGGGATTGAGCTGATGTGTCTGGGCTGCCTTTCTCACCAAAGACACCCCATTCCCCCACACCCCAAGCAAGAGGCGGAGAAAGGATCTCCCCAGCAGAGGCCACGGATGAGCTGAGTGGAGGCTGCACAGGAGTCAGAGCCAGGGTGCACTGCCTGGAGGGGGTGTCCCAGGGGCCTTGGCTGGAGTCCCTGCAAGGAAGCACTGGGGGCAGCTTCTGCAGCTGCATGGCCGTGGCCCCTCCCCAGCACCCTCCTTCCTCCCTATACCTGCCTTCACCACACCCACCCATCCTGGGCAGGATCTAGGGGCCGGGTCACGGGACCCAGTCTGCAGGCCTGAGCAATCGCCACATTACGCATTGATAGGTCCTCAGAAAGTGCATTTGGAGGGAAGCATTTCATTCATTCGTTCATTGCATGCTTGCTCTGATCCAGGTGCAGGAGTGCGTGCAGGGGGAGCACGGGGGAGCACGGGGGAGCAGGGTCCTCTCACCCACTCCCCCCCCCCCCATAACACATCGTGGCAGTTGGAAGCGAGATGGCCACGAGGCAGGAGTAGCCTGTCCTACCCCATAGTCCTGCCCCCGGGGAGACTGGCCAGCACACCGGCCATGCTGGGTCTCTGCGTTTGCAGTTGAGTCCTGAGAGAATGTAACATTTCCTACGTCACTTCCTGCTCGACCTGCACAGAATGGGGGAGAATTATAGATTCATCTCCTCTCGGGGTCTCCAGATATTGGAGACAAGCATGGGGTCTCGGTGGGCAGGGGGAGGCAGCTGCAGGACCCTTTGGAACCTCTCCCAAGACCACTGTGCTTGGGTATCCCCCTGGACGGCCCCTAAGCCACGTGGGAAGCCCCCGAGTGGTCAACCCCATCCCGTGTGCATGGATGGCCGGCCACTACAGATTTATCCTGTCCCTTCTCACCATCTTCCAAGAACCGTGTGTGGGAAGGCCCCCTCCTTGTTTCTTTTTTGGGGGTCCCGTGCTCTGCTCACTCTCCTGACACTCTTGCAGAGAAACTGGCTGACCACAAGCTAAACGTGGCTGAGGTGACCCAGTCCGAGACGGGCCAGAAGCAGAAGCTGCAGACAGTTCTGGAAGCTGTGCAGGGCCTGCTGCAGCCCCACGGCTGGGCGCTGCGCTGGACGGTGGACTGTGAGTGGCCATGGGGGTGGCCTTGGGGTCTTCCTCTAAGACAGGCTCCCTCATCACAGTTCAGGCCGGGGCCGAAGGGCTGTGACTAGCAGAGGGTGGGAGTCCCCTTGGGTTTTAAGCAGGGCTTCCCGCGAAGGCCACTGTGCCAATGACCAAGGCAGTACTGGTGTCCATGTAGCAGGGTGGGCTGGCATTGGGACCATGCAATATTCCCAGCTCAGTTACAGGAAAGGTGTCCGCTGTCCTGACCGTCCCCTCCCTCCCGGAGTGGGGCAGGTGCAGGTGGGGTCAGCCCTTGTGGGCTTGGCGAGCTCAGCCTAAAACTGGGAAGAGGAGACCTGGGTGCTGGGACCCACCTGCTGGCTTCCGGGGACAGAGCCAGGCTGCCTCACTGAACACCGGGATGGTGAGCTGCAGGTCCCTACCCAGAAGTGGTGCCTGTGACTGGCGCCCAGTCCACCTGCTGGGGGTGCAGCCTGGTACTCACATGGGCAGGGCAGGGATTGGCATTTGCCTGAAGCAGCCCTCAACCTCAACTGCTACCCCTGCTATTGGTGGAGAACTTACCCAGTGCCAAGACAATCGTGGACATTCCCCCGGCTGTGACCTCTGTCTCGCTAACGTGGTCATTCTGCTGTGTCCTTGTCCTTATTGCTCGGCAATTTACTGCTTTTAAAACCAGAACACTTTTAAACTTGGTGGCCCAGGGCACTCAGAAGCAGGTCCCTACCCCACCCCCATGCCCTGTCCGTCCTGTCCTCTCTGTGGTTTCCCTGAGATGCCACCCTTTAGACATGGGCTCTGAGTCCCCCTAGGATCTATTCTGAGGTGTCTCTCCCCTTCCTTCTGCCCGCAAGCAATCCATGGGAAGAACCTGGTGGCCATCCTGCACCTGCTCGTGGCTCTGGCCATTCACTTCCGGGCCCCGATCCGCCTTCCGGAGCACGTCTCTGTGCAAGTGGTGGTGGTGCGGGTGAGTATAGTCCTGCTGCCACTGCTAGCCTGCCCGCCTGGCCAGACAGCTGGACAGACCAACTGCCCGCCTGCCAGCCACTGGCCTGCCTGCCTGCCCGCCACTGGACTGCCAGCCACTGGCCTGCCCGCCTGCCTGCCACTGGACTGCCAGCCACTGGCCTGCCCACCTGCCCGCCGCTGGACAGACCGGCTGCATTGCCCTTTCCTTCTTGCTTTCCTTCCTCGCCTCTTGACAAGATGCACGTTGTGCCCTGGCTTTCAGAGAGGTGATTGGTGCTGGCACAATGGCGCTGATTGGAAGAGGCGGACGCCGAGGCGGGAGGGCGTGGAGGTTTAATTTTCCGCATTTTCGAAAAGACCATTTGTCTCTCTCCGAAGCTGGCTAGTCAAAATGTGGTCCCTCCCGATGCTCATTACTCCCTGCGGGAGGTCAGGGCCAACCGGATGAAGCTGATGTTCAAATCAAGGCTTGTGTGCCCTGGCTCGGCAGGCTGGCGGCAGTCCCCATCAGCTCGTTCCCGAAACTTCACTTCCCCTGATTCACTGGAGTGAAGGGATAGAAACGCAGGGCCCTGGCAACACGGGTGGAGCCAGAGTTGCCCCTCCCTGGCCAATCCCTTATGTCTCAGTGACTGCCACGGCCCGGTTTTCCCATTGCAGTTCTACCCGGTAAATGGGCGTTAGCACCTACTGTGCAGCAAGCCCTGGCACGGGTCCTGTGGATGCCCAGACAGGAAAACACGTCTCGGGACTCACAGGGGCTCCTGCTTTTTCTGCAAGAGCTGGAGCTGTGTCCGTGTCGGTTTGACTTGAGACCCCTGTTCTGCTCTCTTTGGTTTTAAATCTGTCAACCTGAAAGCCCCTGGGATTTGGGAATGGGAACACCGGCTGGCTGAACTGGGGTTCCCAGAGCTGTTCTGACCCTGTCTGTGGAGGTCGCCTGCCACATCCCCGTGTCCTTCTCAAGGGGCCAGCATCGCCCCCCTTGTCTTGGATGTTTGTAATCCAGCAGCGGCCAGGAGGGGCGTGCCAGGGACACATGAGAAGGTGGCTCGCAGCCCACCCACGTCAGCCGCAGGGACGCACACATTTCACTGCTTGCACTCGGGTCCAAGGCAGACTGTGGGACTGCGGCGAGCTCAGCTGACCCGGGCAAGTGCTTACTGGCACCGCCTGCCTTGGCCAAGGGCACAGGATTCTCAGAAAGCGGAAGGGAAGCAGGGGAGCCGGGGGCTGTAGCTGGCTGCTGCCGCTCAAAGCTGCCCTGCATGCCCCCACGTTCCCTAGTGGACGCTCAGTGTGTACTTCCCCCCACACTTCCCTGGAGGCCATGATCGGGGAGGAGAGTAGCTCTGGCTGCAGGCGAGGGCCCCACGAGGGATTCGACCAGTGGCTTAGCCGCAGCTGGGCTCGACCTGGACCTCACGTGACCCCCACCATCCCCCCACCACCGAGGTCTCATCTCACCTGGGGGAGGTATGTCCCACGGCTGCCCTAGCAGGTGCAGTGAACCCCAGGGCTTAACCCTTCCGTGTTCTGCCAGCCAGGGCCCTGTCTCTCCTCTCTGCTGTGTCTCCAGCCCGCCAGCCTTGGCTGCTGCCATCCCAGGTGCCTCACTGTGTCTCTTTCCCCACTCTTACGAGCACACTGGTCCTCTCGGGACCAAAGCTCCTTGTGATCTACGAGCTCTTGATACCTGCCCAGGCCGTTTCTGAGCTAGGAGTGTGCCGAGGTTCCGGTGGACGTGAGCTGGGGGTGGCCTGTCCTGCCCGGCCCACCCTGCCAGGGTCTGTTGTGCTGCTTGCTGCCTCCCCCCTGCCCCGGCTGCCATCTGGGAATCTGAGCCGGAGTCTTCTCTAGATGCACATAGGCGCCGGCGTGTGGGCTGGGACAGGCTGCAGCTGTGCGAGGGTCACCTGCGGTCAGCTGGGATGTGCCTGGAGCTGTCAGCACGCGGCTTTGGGGCCCCCTTGCTGTGTTCCTTCCCGCGGTCGGTTGCTTGTGTGTCTATGTGTTTGTTTTGGCGTTTTCAGAAGCGCGAAGGACTGCTGCATTCCAGCCACGTCACAGAGGAGCTGACCACAACCACAGAGTAAGTAAGTGGAGCCCGGCTCGGGTCACGCCGCAGCTCCCCTCAGCAGCGTGGGAGCTGCACGCTGTTCCCCTCCTCTGCACGCACCCTGTGGCGTCTTTAACATCAGAACGAACACATTCTCCCAGCCTTTGGGGTGTTTGTTTCTTATTTTGGAAGGTTAGCTTTTTTTAAAATGTTTTTATTTATTTGAAAGAAAATCAGAGAGAAGGTAGGGAAGGAGGACGCTCTTGCATCCACTGGTTTACTCCTCAGATGGCTACAGTGGCCAGGGCTGGGCCAGGCTGAAGCCAGGAGCCTGGAGCTCCATCCGGGTCTCCTACCCAAGTGGCAGGGGTCCAAGCACTTGGGCCATTTTCCGCTGCTTTTCCAGGAGCGTTAAGGGGGAGCTGGGCCAGAAGCTGAGGATCTGGTCCCGGAACCGACACTCATCTGGGATGTTGGAACAGCAGGTGGAGTCTTAACTTTCTAAACCTCAACACTGACCCTGGAGGGTGAGCCTTAGCAATGAGGAGTGTGTGTGTGTCCCCGTGCTGCCACTGCCAGAGATGCCAGCATCCCATTTAGGTGGAGTCCCAGCTGCTCCATGTCTGATCCAGCTCCCTGCTCGTGGCCTGGGAAAGCAGTGGAGGACGGCCCAAAATGCCTGGTCCCTTGCCATCCATGCGGGTGACCTGGCCCCATGCTAGCTGTTGGGGGTCCCTTAGGGGTGGGCCAGTGAATAGAATATTCTCTGTCTTGTCCCGTGTATTTCTGTCTTTCAAAGTCAATAAACGTAAGATAAAATGGGAAGAATACGGAGTTGGGGCAGAGGGAGAGCGGGCCCCAGTTAGTTCCGGATGGCACCAGAGGATGAGGAAGGCGAGGCTGCCCAGCAGGGTGACATTGGGTGGCTGCTGCCTGTTTGCCAGCTGGGGATGGGGTGCAGCTTGCGAGGGCCTGCATGTCGTTGGCCCAGTGGACCCCAGTCAGGCGGCAGCTGGAGCCGTTGTGTTTGCACAGTTTGGGGTCAGTGCTTTGGGCTGGGCTCAGCCACGTGGTTCTTACCTCTGGTGGCCGTGTGACTGTAAGCACGTGAGGGCTGTACCAGGGCTGTGGGGGCCTCCCCCAGGTGTGGGCTCCCCTAGGGGTTCCCCAGGCTCTGGAGTCAGTCCTTCCCCCTCAGCATCCAAGCGAGGGGGCAGACAACTGCAGGTACAGGACCAGAGACACCCCACTCCCAAACACAGGCCCACCCAGGCATAGTGCAGCTGCGTGGAGGAAGCCACGGCCCTCAGGCCCCTCGTGCTGGTGGTCCGGGGTCGGGAAGCAGCGGGGTGTGGTCCTCCACCAGTGCCCCTTCCCTGGCACCCTGTCTCAGCCGCCCACCTGATGCCCTGTGTTCTTGTTTGCAGGATGATGATGGGCCGTTTTGGTGAGTAATGCGGAGGGGAGTCCCGAGTCGTGGCACCCTGGGCTGCCCCGGGATCCCCAGGCTGCTCCAGGTGGTCAATGTGGGGGCAGGGGCCTCCAGGAGGGGCTCACTGGAATCCTGGAGGACATGCCCAGAACCACTTCCCTTCCCATCCTGCGTGAGGGGCCAGATGGGGGCTCAGAGAAAGGCAGGGGGGCCTGTCTGCCAGGATGCAGGTGGAGGCAGGAGGGGCTCTGGCCCTGGGGGACCCTGCTGCCTCACTGCTCCATCGCTCTGCCCTGACGCAGCTGTCCCTGGCAGTGTGTGCAGGGAATCCCCAGGGGTGTGCTCGGCCTGCCGTCGCTTCGCATTTGGCGGCTACCACCAAAGTTGGGGGGCTGTTGAGGACAACCCCCCCAACCCAGTTCCTATAGCCCACCTTATCAGCATGCTGCTTCCAAACCTTGGCTCTCCAGTGCCACACTCCCGCCTGTCGGGGGTGGGGGCGTCTCCACACCTGTCGGGGTTTCTGTCCGAAGCCCTTATCATCCCAGGTGGGGAAAGGGCTGCCTGTTGTTTCCCAGGTGGCAGCTGGGGACCCTGAGCAGGTGTGGTGGGAGAGGGACCTGCAGGTGTCTGTAATGTTGCCATGAAGGTCATGTGTTGTCACGCGTGCCACACGTCAGTGGACAGGCTTGTTGGAGGAGGCTGAGCGATTAGAGACCCAGGTGCGCAGGGTGGGAGTCCCTGGGTCAGAGCCAGGTGCCCTTGTGGCGGTGTTGCTGCCGGCACCCTGGAGCCCTCCCTGCGGGCGGCTGTTAGCTGTGAAGCCCTGCAGCTTCTGCTGATGCCAGCTCCTGGTTCCCCCTGGGGGGCAGCCACACACCTAGCCTGGCTGCCTGTCACAGTGCTCAGCTCCGGCGTGCTCCACAGCCCCTCTGCCCTGCAGAGCCCCCTAGGGTGCAGCCACCTATTCTAGAAGGTTCTACTGCTGGGATAGAATTGTGAAAGCCCTGGTGACAGTGTGCTCCTCAGGGTGCCCCCACTCCCAGTCCCCTCTGCCTGAGATGCTGTCCCCTGGAGTAGCCCAGGGCTCACTCCCTCGGCCCTTCTTGGGGACACTGCTTGGTCTGGCCTTGCCGCCCACCTGACTGGCTCATCTCTAATTTGTCACACACAGTGCTTGTTGGGCCCTGCCTGGCATCACTGGCATCAGAGCCCTGTGTGCTGGCAGACTGTGGTGTAACCCTGTAACCCTGTCCTCACACCCCTCACTCTTACCCTGAACTGGAGGTGTCCTGGGGGCTGTAGCCACAGCTGCAGCTCCCAAACGTTCCAGGGGCTTCCCGAAGGCTGGCCAGGCAGGGCCTGGCCTACACTGCCCACTGTAACCCCTGAGTGCTCTGAACCTGCAAGGAGGGGGCTCCACTGACCCTCCTGGCTGGCCTGGTGGAGCTGGGAGCACTGCTGTTACCAGGCTGGGAGCCGGGAGCAGTCTGGTCTCCATGGCAACGGACCAGCGGCTGCTGTATCTTGTTTCCGCCTGCTGGCAGGCTTCCGGGAGCCCCTTCCTAGGATGAGGTGGTGAGGATGGGGATGGATCCCCCTCTCTCCACACGTCTCCCAGTCTCCCCGCAACCCCGTCACTACCCTGTGTACGTCTCCAGGCACCCCATCCTCACCCCGGGCACCAAGTTCAAGTGGGCTGGGCACAACACGAGGGGGGTGAGCAGTCCCATTTCCACTGCCAGCTGAGCCCAGAGAGAGTACAGGTAGCTCTCCGTCACCACCCCCTGGAGAAGAGATACAGTCCCAGAACTTTTGGACAAAAGCTTCTAATGCCAGAAGCCAAGGTGGCTGCGCACGGACCCAGCTCAGGCCCGTGACCTAACTGGGCTGGGCTTGGCTCCTCTGAGGCATTCCTGCTCTCAAGTGCAGGGCTGTGTCTTGCTTGTCCCAGAGCCTAGGAGGGAGAGGTGTGGGGGCAGGGCAGTCAGGGCCCAGGATGTACAACCAGTGAGCTTGGCCTGGGTTTTACTTCTCAGCCCAACAATGAGGAGGGGAAAGAAAGAGCCTCCGGTCTTGCAGTCGAGATTTGAACCCTGATGTGTATTTGTTCCCGAGGCCTGGTGCACCCCAGGGGTGCGTCAAAGCTAGCCCGCACCCCTCCCAGCCACGTGGTGTGTGACATAGCTCCAGGGTCTGGGCACAGGTGAGCAGGGGCTGGTGAGGGAGTTGTGTCTGCCGCCTCCCCTGTGGCTGACTCTGCCAGCCCAGCGGTGGCCCAGCTAAATATACCCCACTGACGTCAGGCCCCGCACTGCTCCTGGGGCCTGCCTCGGGTGCGTTCAAAGTTTGCATCTCGCTTTGTCAAGATCGAGCTTGGCTTCCTGGCCCCGGAGCCAACCATCTTCCTGACTGTGATCAGGCTGAGATAGTTATAAAAATACCGCGCAGCTGCTGGGACAGAAAAGCCGCTGGTGGTGGCGGTGGCTGGAAGGCGGTACCCCGAGGAAGTTCCGCTCCCCCTTGCACGTGCGTGTGCATTGAGGAGTCACACATGCCTATGCTCTTGGGGCCTCCTTCCGCTGTGCCTCCCCCACTCCCACCTCCATCCCATAGACCCCCGGCTGGGCTGAGGGTGTGGGCTACCTCCTTCAATGCACCATTCTTTGAGGGCCTTAGGGGGTGCTGGGGTGCATACTTCCTCGCCGAGGCCTGGCTGGCTGGCTTCCCTGTTGGGGCTTCTGCAACCACCCCACACCTGCTCTTCTCCATCCCTGCCCTTGGGCAACCTAGGTCCCAGAGGCAGGTGCCAGCCTCATCTCCACCCAGGCCCCCAGCTCCCTCTGGCAGCTCAGGCTTGTCCCCTGAGGCCTTGTCCTCCTGGCTCCTTAAATCTTGAGGCAGATGTCAGGGTGCCCGAGTCCTTTCTGGATGTCCCCCGCCTCCCCAGGAACCTCGCCTGCTGCTGTTGAGTCCAGCCAGGCTGCAGCCATCTCGCGCCATAGCCTTCAGGTGGCCCCCCTGCCAGGCACCTGTCCCTAGCCAGCCCCTCCGTGGCTGCAGAGGGGAGAGGGAGAAAGCTCGGTGAATTTGGAGGGTCTGGTTGGGCTTGAGTGATGGCTGAATGGGATAGGCTCACGTGGGAGAAGAAACGTGGAGAGACGTCAGCTGTCTGTTGCTGGTGAAGTCCCATAGCACACTGGAGGGCAGTTCTGGAGTGGAGTCCCCAGTCCCTGCTGGGCTCCAGCTGCCGCGCCCCTCGGTCCTCACTGCCCTGGCAGTTGGAGATGGCGGGGGCAGGGAGCTAACGCGCCATGAGGAGGTGTGGCTGGGGAGGGGCACAGTGAGCAGGAAGGGGCAGAGGGGGAGCCATGGAGAACAGCAGGTGCAGAGCCCTGAGGTGGGCAGGGCCCACCCCGGGAGTGATGGAGCAGCAGCTGTGAGGCCAGTGAGTGGGATGGAGTCCTGGGGGCGAGTGCCGTGAATCTGCCACCTCCACGGGCTCCCAGGAGAGGAGACCTGGGGCTGTGGGGATGGCATCAAGAGAAGCAACCCAGTTTGCACTTTCAAGGACTGCTGGGGAGAGTGGGTGGAGGGGCAGAGGTGGGCAGAAGCCATGGGCTGCAGCCAGGGGAGGCCACGGTAGTCGATCACAGATGAGACACCTGCTAGAGACAAGTGTGGAGGAAGAGCTGGGGCCTCTTCGAACCCCAGGGTCCAAGGGCGGCTCCTGGCTCCCCTGGGTGGCATGTGGAGGAAGGGAGAACTGGGGCCCCTTTGAGTCCCAGGGCCCAAGGGCGGCTCCTGGCTTGCTTTGGAGCAGGCGGTTTGCTGTGCAGACTTTATTGGCTGTGGATCCATCTGCCCGGCTTTGCCAGGAGGTAGTGACAGCTTCAGCGCTGGCAGGAGTTGGGAGGATCCTGGGCAGGCGTGGGTACTGAGGCTGAACATCCCCACCGGGATCAGGTCTGGCAGGCAGCATCGGGCACTCGCCTGGGGATTAGGGCCACGCTGGGTGCCTGCTTCAACCCCTGTCCTTGCATGTCCTGGCAGAACGCGACGCCTTTGACACACTCTTCGACCATGCCCCTGATAAGCTCAGCTTTGTGAAAAAGGTGAGGTCCCCTCTGCTTCCAGCATTTACTACAATGCCAGTGCCTGTTGGGAGGAGGGTGGGGAGATGTTTGCCACACAGATTGACATCTAATTACAGTCAGATGTAACTACAGTGCATGCAATGAGCACCTTTAACCCAACTTCTAAACTCCAGCTATCTTCCAACCCGCCTGCTCTCCTGAGCCAGCTGCACGGGTGGGCCACTGTGTCCGGGCCTCTTTTCCTTAGTGGTCCATCCACCTACTGCCCGTCTCCAGCATCATTCAGGGCCTGCCCGGTTAACGGGCTGCCCAAGGGCTGGGTGAATTTGGAGTCCCAGGGGCCAGCAAGCATCACCAGGCTGCCAGCCAGTCAGTTGGATGTAAAACTCCACCATGCATCTGGGCCCAGGGAAGGGTCAGCTGCTGGCATCTGCTTAGATGGCTGCTTCTGCGACAAGTGTGGGACAGCTGTGCCTCCTTCCTCCTTGTGACATCCACAGAGGCATCGCCCTTGCTGTCCAGGCAGTGTCTCCAGATTGGTGGTCAGTGTAGGACTTGTCAGAGCTTTCCTGGGCTGACCTGAGGGGCAGTTCTGTTTGTTCCTGATGAGGTTTCCTTGCTGCTGGTCCTGGGTACCCCACCCTTGGTCCAGGCTCAGCTGGCACTGGCTCCCGGGAGGCCCTCATGGAAGCTGCTGGAGCCAGGCCCTCTTGGCATCCCTGGGCCCCGTCCTCTCCCCTCCCTTTGGCCACACCTGGCCTCAGAACTGAGACAGAATCAGTCTAGTAGATGTGTCCAGTCCAGGTCCCCCAACTTAATAACCTGCAACTCATCATAACCCTGCCCCAGCCTCTGCTTCCCTGTCCCCGGGGTGCCGTGGCGGGGTGTGGCAGGGCTGTGCACTTTGCTTTCCGTTTAGCAGCAGAGCTGGCGTCTGCGTTGTGGGCAGCTGGGCCGCTGGCAGTGGCCTGACAGCTTCTTGCTCCCAGTCAGCCCTGTAGAGCTGCCATGCTGTGCTTGTGGAAGGCCAGGCTCTCCTAGTCCACTCACCTCCAGCCCTGCAGACCCTATAGGGTTCATAAATGCACCCGTGGCTGGGTGCCAGCTGCCGCCTCCCGGCAAGCCGTGGCCAGCCCACACACAGGCTATCTGGCGCTTGCTGGCGGCCCCTCCACGGAGCCCTCTGTGCTTGCACACACCTCCACGTGCAGGTTTCCTGGGTATGTGCACATGTAGGTTGTGTGGCTGTCCAGGCTGGGGCAGCCTTCCTGCCTTCCTGTCTCGTGCAGCCTGAGCTGTTCGGTGGATCTGGGCTCCTTCCAGGAGCTGTTTTCTCTGCTGGAAGGGCTGCGGGCAGGGGTGGGGAGCACAGGTGTGTGCCTGGGCACCAAGCACTGTCCTGTGAACACAGCGTGTTGGGGTTGGGCCCTGCACCTCTGTTTCTGTGGATACAGGAGGTATGGGCGTGGCCACTGATGCATCCCGTCTGTACCCCAACAGTCTCTCATCGACTTTGTGAACAAGCACCTCAACAAGCTCAACTTGGAGGTGACGGAGCTGGAGACCCAGGTAGGCGGCGTGGCGGGCGGGAGTAGCCGGGCTCAGCCCCACACTGGTTCAGCTGCTTCCCAGTCCCTGCCACAGGAACACCCGACTCCGGGCACCACGATTGTGGAGTGTCTGTTGGCGTGGAGGCCGCAAGGCGGAGCTCCTGGCTGGGCCAGTTAGGCGCCTCGGGCTGGGAGGCCAGCCTGGCCTGGGGCCCAGCAGCCGTCTTGAGCGTCCCTGTGCAGACACCCACCTGTGTCTTTGCCACCTTCTTCTTTGGCCTTCACCCATTGTGTGAACACAGCCATGGAGGAACAAACTGGTCTGCTGCCTCACCAGTGCTGTCTGCCTTTTTACAAATCATGCCCATGGGGGTGAAGGCTCACGGACCTTTGTTCCGGAATGTTCTATCTTAGCTGGCATCCTAGAAAATACTCAACGGACATCCCTCCAGGGAATATGTGCTAGAAGTCTGTAAAATACTCCCATCCAAAGCTCAGAGAGTGTCACAGAAATATGTTTTCAAGTCCTCTGTGAGCTTTAAGGACAAAAGATAATTTTCCTGGGATTAGCTGGGTGCTGGAATGTTCAGCCGCCCTCATGCCCTGTGGATTCATCCTAAACCTCTGGGTGATTGCCTGGGACTTCCATTCTTTCCTTTAGCTCTCCCTCATTTGCTTTTCTAATTAAAAAAGTAATTCAGGCTCATCATAGACACGTCTGAAAAGGCAGATAAGCAAGGCCCATAAAACCAAGTCGGAAATCCTGTCCCAGGAGGCGGCGGTGTGGGGGTGGGATGTGGTGTGGGGGTGGGATGCGCGGGCCCGTTGTGGGCAGCGGTGTGGGTGGGGTCCGTCTTGGGGCCGGACGCCGTGTGTCTAATGCAGCCATCCACACCGTGTCATGCCAGGCATGAATGGTACGTAGCCATTGACGGAATGCCGATTCTGCTGTTTGGCAAGTGAGAGACGCAGGAGGCGGCTCGGGGCAGGTTGAAAGAGGAAGCTGAGTGCTGCCAGCAGCTGGAGCCACGGCTCCCAGACCCTGCTGGTGCTCACGGGCCGCACTGTCCACCTCCCGTGGGGCGTGGTGTTCCAGGCCTCTCTCCTGTTCTCTGTTGCCATAAGCCAGCAGCACACACGAACCTTCGGATTATTTATAAATTTATAATCGCACTTCTCCATGGCGAGGAGGCTCCTGTCCACGCCTGTCTCCTGGGGGTGAATGTGTGGAAGTGAATCCTGTGAGCATGAAGGCCGTGTCCTCCAGGACTGCCCAGGTGCCACCTGCTCCTGCCGGCGGCCGCCGGTCACCTCCTAGAGGGCCCGTGTGTCAGCCTTTCCGGCCAGAGCCACTCAGAGGGGTCCATGCTGGAACCTTCCTCTGTCTGTGACCAGTAGCTTCATTTTCTTTTTTGGTGGTCACACTGTGTGAGCCATGCCCACTGCCCTATGTCACAGCACTGGGAAGGCTACCTGGCAGGGCTGCCACCTCGTGCCCATAGGCTCGTGTGTCGCTCTGCTGTTGGCAGCCTCCCCTCTGCACCCCGGGCAGTTGGATGGGAGGCTGTGTGCCTCGGATGGCTGTCTGGGCCCATGGAGGGGGCAGCTCTCCTGTTCCAAACTTGCCACCCTCCTGCCTTCAGCTCCTCTGGGTCCATGCCTCCAGCACCTGCACCCTGTCCTGGCCTACTCGGGAAGGGCTGGGCCCTGCTCTGTGTGCGGGAGGGGGGCTGAGTTCTATCCTGAGTCCGAGAGCCCCAGGCAGAGCTGGCTGGACACCCAGATGGGACCCCTGGAAACAGTACTGTGTCTGTGCAGTTTGCAGATGGCGTGTACCTGGTGCTGCTCATGGGCCTCCTGGAGGGCTACTTCGTTCCCCTGCACAACTTTTACCTGACGCCGGACAGCTTTGACCAGAAGGTATGTACAGGAGCCCAGACTCACTGGGGCCCCGCAGCGTGCAAGGGCCCCCTGCCAGCTGCCTTCACACCCTGGCATGGCCGCCAGGAAGTGCGACATTGGCGGCTGTGGCAGGTGAAGCATGTGAAGCACAGGGTTGATGCTGCGCCCTCCTCGGGGCCCGTGTGCTTTTGCGTGAGCATGGTCAGGTGTGCCCTGCCGGCCCCGTGTCCCTCCCCTCTGCTGTCCCTGCAGCGTCGGCAGCTTCCTGCCATGGCCCTGGTGCTGAGGTCTCTGTTCCCCTCTCTAACAGGAGGAACGGAGTACATTTGTGATTGTATACAGTTGTCCCAGCGTCCTCGGAGGCTGCATATGATTGTGCCAAGGTCCCGGGAGCTAATTTTGAGATCTGTGTAGGTCCCCAAGTCCTTCTGCCAGAGGAGGGAGGAAGTGTGCCCCCCTCCCATCTGTTTTAACTGTTTCGTGAAGGAATCTTTATCACCGTCTTGTGTTAAATCAACCTGCAGCAGTGTTAGGTGTTTGTGGGTGTGTGTGCCACGCATGTCATACCGTGTGCCCCCCATTGGCCTGGGGCGACGCGCTATGCCCGGCCCGAGGGAATGACACAGTTGTCCGCCCGCGTGCAGTGCAGATGCTGCTGTTTTTCTAAACGCTTCCTGTCCTTGAGACTTTGAATCCACACCCACGTACTTGCCCCACGTCGGCACCTATACTACAAGCCCACGTGCACGCTCCACACGCATACACTCCTCCCCACACACACTCACACCCACACCCTCGCACTGTCACACCACCAGATAATACACACGTCATGAGTGCATTCACTCATAAGGAAAATAGGATTTCATGGATCCGGCGTTTAGGTCTGGGGTGGTCCATGCCTCCACGTCACTGTCGTTGCCCCTGTGAGGGCGGAAAAGCTCAGCTCCTGTGGCCTGCACTGCTCGGGCCTCGCGGGTTTCTGTGCTTGGTCTTCCCAAAGCCCCAGACCCACAAGTCAGGCAGGCAGACAATGCAGGCTGGCGGCCACTGAGCCAGGAACAGCCACCCTCACCTGCAAGTCTTTAATCTGCCTGCTGGCTCCTGGCACTAGGCAGTCTGTTGCAGCCAAATGGTGCACCCATCTCACCTGCCAAGATGCAACGGGACAGATTAGAGAGGTCTTAGCACACAGCAGCCCATACTGAGACAGGGAGAGGCGATGCAAGCAGAAGGCAGGGGGTGTGCCAAGCGGGAGCCTGTGGCCGTGTGGGAGCCTGAGCAGGGTCTGGGAGGAGACGGCTCATGTGCCCAGGCTCGGTGTGCCTGTCTGCAGGAGCCCCCTCTGACCTGAGGCTGGCGGGGGACTCCCGTACGGGCCCGCCAATGGCTGGCTGGCATCTCTTCCACACAGGGTGGCTGTCCTTGTCTTCACCGAGCCAGCCCATTTCTGGGGATTCCACCCAGGAGTGGCTTGGCCCTGGGGGCTGGCTGGGGTGCTCACCTTGGGATCCTGGCTGGGCCCCTCTGCCCCCAGCCCCTGCATGCCCCTCTTTACTCCCCAAGGGGTGACAGCCACAGTGTTGGGTACTAGCATGTTCTCTGTAAGCCTAAGGACTTGGTAACGCATCTCCCGGGCAGGTACCTGGTCTCCTGCTGCCTGGGGCTGAGCCCCAGCAGGCTGCCTGTAGCTTTTGTGCATCCTGGATACCGCTTGCCTAGGGGACAACAGGCATGTGTGGCCGACAAAGCATGGGGACTCCGCTCTGGCCCTGGGGTGTGGGCAGCAGGCAGAAGAGGCCCAAACTGGGGAGCAAAGCCCCAGGGGGCAGTATAAGCTGTTCCCCCTCCCCTCCACCTCTGAGCGTAGCAATCAATGATTTCAGTTTTTAAAGATTACTTATTTTTATTAAAAAGGCAGATTTTACAGGGAGCAGGAGAGGCAGATATTCTATCCGCTGCTTCTCTCCCCTAGAACCCTCAATGGCTAAGGCTGGGCCAGGCTGAAGTCAGAAGCCAAGAGCTGCTTCTGGGTCTCCTCCCATAGGGGCAGGGCCCAGGCAGCTGGGCCATCCTCTGCTGCTTTCCCAGGTGCACTAGCAGGTTGCTGGGCTGGAAATGAAGCAGCCAGGACTTGTGGCATGCTGGCGTTGCACGCATGGGTCTCTGTGCTGCACCATGGTGCCAGCCCCTCCTGAGCTTTACGGCAGGAAAGCATCTTATCACGCCTCCTGGCCATGCTGGCAGCCTCCCTCTTGGTGGAGGGTCTGCCGCGTGTGAAAAGACTAGCCAGTCTTCCATCTCTCTGGTTTTTGTGGATCAAAAATGTCTGGGGGAAAATTGTGTCTGTTCTTGTCATTAGTCCTTAATGCTGCAGGCAATAGCCTGTTACTCCGACCTTGTATTTGTCCTTTTTTCTTTTTTTTTTTTTTAAAGAGTATGTATTTCTTTGAAAGAGTAACAGGGAGAGGAGGAACAAGAAGAGAGAAAGAGAGAGGGAGTGAGACAGAGAGAGAGATTCCACCTGCTGGTTTGCTTCCCAAGTGACCTTAAACAGTGAGGGCTGGACAAGGGCAAAGCCAGGAGCCCAGAGCTCCATCGGAGGCCCCATGTGGCTGCAGGGACCCACACCCCTGCGCCACGCTCTGCTGCTGTCCTGGGGCATCAGCAGGAAGCTGGGTGGAAGGGGAGAGGAGCTCAGTTCTGGGTGCTCTAGTATGGGATGTGGCCATCTCGGGTGGCATCTTGGCCCGCTGTGCCCCAGGCCTGGCGCCCCACTTCTGCCTTTCTCAACACTAGCGCCCTGGCCCTGCTCAGCCCAGTGCCCTGCTGTGGGGCACGGAACATGTTAGTCCTTTCATGCAACTAAGCTCTTCTCAGGTTAAAGAACAAGGAGTTGGTGGAGGGGGCTGTCGGGTACGGTGCCATGACGTTATAGCGATCCATGGGAACAGGGTTGTGAAGTTACAGTGGACTGGCAGACAACAAAATTTGAACCTGAAGGGCGCATGGATCTTAAGGAAGCCGGGATCTAAAACAGTACTGAGTCCAAAGGGGTGGGAGTTTTGGGGCCGACGTTCAAGTCGCTCCTCACAGTACCTGTGCCATGCAGGGCTGGGAGGGGACACGAGGCTTTGGGCTGAGTGCACTATCCCACGGGGCCTCCAACAGCCACAGGGAGGCTGCTCATCTTCCATCCTTGTCTTGCCTTTGCCACATTTCCAGGGCTCAATTCTGGGGCCCTGACACCCTGCTGGGCAGGTCCAGGTCTGGAAGGCACCATCCTTTCCAAACCTGTCCTTATCCCGGATTTTCCCAAGGGACGGGCGGGTGGGCCTGGGGCGGGGCCGGACTCTGCACTCCTCTCCCTTGGCAGGTGCACAATGTGTCATTTGCCTTTGAGCTGATGCTGGAAGGGGGGCTCGCGGAACCCAAGGCTCGCCCCGAAGGTAAATCCCCTGATCCTGACCTCCTAGGTAGCCCCCGGCTGCACTCCTAGCTGGACCCTGGCCACCCCAGCCACCTTCCTCCCAAGGTTCCTGTGAGGTCCATGTCCTCCAGTGCTGTCTGCTTATGTGTCCACCCCACTGCCATGCTCCACCCCAGACCAGAAACTGGATGGGGAGCAGGGCTCTGTCCCCCGTATGTCTGGTATTAGGAGCGGTGCCTGGTGCAGAAACTGCGGGGCAATGTCAGCAGAGTGGGTCCAGGCTGGGGCTCTCGAGGGCTGACCTGCCTCCTGGACCCTGGGGTTGCACTACAGGCGCCTGACTCTGGAAGGGCAAGCCCGGCACCTGTCCTGCGGTTGCCCCTGGCGCCTGCCCTTCCCCCTCCCCCTCTCCCAGCACTCACTGTAGAGCCCCGAGACCCATCCTGAAGCAAGTCGTAAGGGCCGGTGTGACTGCTCTGCCCTGCCTGGGGCTTCTCGCTGTAGATTGTATGTCTGAGCGTGGTGCTGCTCAGGGTGGCCTGGACGTGGTGGCCAGCAGTCCCCAGCTCTACTGTGGGCGTGGTAGCTGGAGACTGGAGTCGGGTGCTCCCTGGGGTCGGGGGCTCCCACCCCACTTCTTGTCCTGCTGACTTCTGTTTCCTCTGCAGATGTGGTCAACTTGGACCTCAAGTCCACCCTGAGGGTGCTGTACAACCTCTACAGCAAGTACAAGACCGCCCAGTGAGGGGCGGCAGGTGGCAGCCCCGGCCCCGCCCCTTCTGTTGGCTCCTCCCCTCCCTTCCAGGGACTCTGCGGTGGGCGGAGCCTTTGCCCGTGCAGGCTGCAGACCTGCCATGCTCCGCTTCCCCTGTCCCTGCTGAGATCAGAGAAGAACCGAAGCCCACCTCCACCTTGGCCACCGTGCGTCCACTTGGCCTGGAGGTGAGCTCCAGGAGTGGAGTGTGGACCCAGGACCCTGGGCCCACACAGCTCCCTGGGAGTCTCCTGGACGGGGCCCCCTTCGTGAGTGAGCGAGGCTTTTCCGTAATAAATGTTTTATGGTTTCAGAATTTGCACTGTGCAGTTCTGCGTGTGATGCCTATCCTTCACGGCCCTATTGCCTCCTGGGCCTGTGGTGTTGCTGCGCACACGTACACACACACACACACACACACACACACACACACACACCTGGGTCCGTGTCCAACTCCCGCCCTTTGGACGGTTTGCTTCGTTTCTCAGTGCAGCCACGGGGCTGGATCCAGACTTGGCTCCAGAGATGCGGCTGCAGGAGGTTCCAGCCAGAGCCCTCCCAGCTGCCCTCTGAAAGTGAGGGCACTGTGGTTATGTGGGGTCACAGGCCATAGACACCGTGGAGGAAGCCGGCAGGTCCCGGAGCCAGTGGGTGGGCTTGGGTCCTCTTGCCGGATCCCCTCCAACATCTGCCGGCTGGCTGCGTCCTGCTCCCTTCCCCTAAGACATGGCCATGCTCAGTGCCCTCCACCTGAATGACGTCATTCTAACCTTATGCAGTCTTGGGTTGGGGTCCTGAGGGTCATGACTGTGGCAAGGGGATTGACCAGGGAGGTTACCCAGTTCAGGCCACAGTGGGGGTGTCACGGCAGGATATGGGGCGCTCGGTTCCTGAGGGATGCCGGTCCCTGCTGCTTGCCCCTCGGATGGGCTGCGTGCTGCGGGGCGGCCGCTGGTCTCCAGGGTCTTGTACAGTCACAGTCCCTGCTCCAGCTCCTGCTGGGTCCCCGGGGCCTTCCCTGTCCTGCTGCAGCCCAGCACCATGCGGAGCACTGGTTGGTATGAACTTGCTTGCCCGCTTGGAAGTTTCAGAAAACAGTTTAATTTGCTCCTTTGGTCCTGCGTTGCCAGGCCGGGGATGGGTTCAGAATAGCCTTTTTGATGAAGGTGGCTTTGCCAGCAGGGGCGAGAAATAATTAAAATGGTATTACAGCGGCTCCTGTGGGAGGCTGTGACATTAAAGAGCAGCAGTGACAAAATGTCCAGGGCTCTGACAGCCTGTATGGCGCACACAGACGCGGCAAGCTGGAGCCAGTCCAGCCCGGGGGCTCTCCCTTGCCCAGGGTGGGTGGGCACGGGGGCGTGGGGCACAGCCTCTCGCAGATGTGGAAGGGAGGTGACGACTGCTCTGCCAAGGCATCCATCTTCTGGGAAGCCCCAGCCACCTGTGCTCACCCCACACACCTTCCCGTTTCATGGGGTGACGAGGACTGACCTGGTGGCTGGAACTGATATGTTGCTTGCCACCCTTTTAAACGTTCCTTGGGCCCCAGTGTGGCCGGAGGGCAGTTCAGGCCAGGATTGCCCCTTGCTGGCGGCAGCCTTGGGAAGGCAAAGGCGTCTCCATTCATTCTCTTCTTGCTAATGTTTTCAGTTCTTTTCATCTACCTGAAAAGCAGAGATACACACGCAGAATCTTCCATGTACTGGTTCATTCCCCAGAAGGCTGTCACAGCCAGGGCAGAGCCAGAAGCTCCACCTGGGTCTCCCTAGTGGAGGCAGGGCTCAAACAGGCCCTGATCAACTACTACCTTCTTAGGCCATTCACAGGAAGTGGGAGTGGAGTAGCTGGGACCTGAACCAGGGCCGTATGGAATACCAGTGTCACAGGTCTGACACGTTTCCAGGCTGTTGTTTCAGAAGGGGGCCTGGTGCTTAGGAACTGAGGGAAAGCCACGGGCCTGTGGGTGGTGTGAGCCCAGGGCCCGGGCCGTGTGTCCCAAGCCCCACTGCTGGTGTGTCTGCCTGCAGCCCTGCTGCCCCGTGTTATGCAAGCACCATGCCCAGGGCGCTCTGTGCCCTCATTGGATGCAACAAAGAGCTGTTTTATTTTTAAGCAACCGAATCCTTTTTTCCCCTGGTGCGCCAGTGTTTTATTGTCTTTTTAATTGCCCAAAGCCCCGCTCACTCTGGATTTCTGGATATTAAATAAAAGCCTCTGAAACCCCGGCCGGGCTTTGATGAGGCCGCCTGGCTGACAATGGGAAGCGGGCGTGTTCCGAGAGCACGTGTAAACCCAGCACGTTGTTGGCATCCTTTATGCCAACAAAGTACTTGCGAGCACAGGGCAGCTGTCTCTCGGCTGCTGTTTGTCTCTTGCACGGAGCGGTCGTTCTTGAGCTGGCCTAGTGGTCGGTGCTGCGTCTGCGTGCCACACAGCCCCGTTGGTCTGATGTGCCCAGTTGCTTCCAGATGGGAATGGGCCTGGGGGAGGGGAGACTACGGGGATGTGCGGCTGCAGATGGCGACTAATAAAGAACAGACCAGGGTAACTTCAAACAAGAACAGAACGCTGCTGGCGGCTGGGGGCATGGGCTGTGTTGGAGTGGTACTCAGGCTGGAGGGCGTCTCCAACTCAGGGTATGGAGTCAGAAAGTGACCCGTCTGGGGCAGGGGTGACCTGGGTGACCTGTGATGGTCCTGCTGGTAGCTGCCCTCCATTGTGGGTGGTGCTGCCCTTGCTGGCTGTTGGACAGTGGGTGGTTGGAGACTGGGTTGTCACAGCTTGGGGAACAGGTGAGCTCAGGCACGTGACAGGTGCTGGGCAGCATCCTGGTGAGCCCAGCACAGCTCCCCTACCTCAGCAGAGACCCCTGCATCCCCAAACCTCCAGTGTGCTGTGCTCAGGGGACTGACCTGGGGCCTCCTGTCTCGGCCAGAGCCTTCATGAGCAGGGCTTGTTGAGAGGATGTTACCTTAGATGCCCCTACTCGAAGCAGTGAGGGGGTCCAGGGACCCATCTCCTCTTGGGGCCTGTTCAGCATGTGCTTGCCCAGGCTCTGGTTAGTTCAGGCCTTGGGCAAGTGGCTAGGAGTGAGGTGGAGGAACTCCTGGGACCAGAGTGTCCAGGGTGGGGCAGAGAGTGGCTGTGGTGCATGGATGGGACAGGAGATACTGAGACATGCAGATGAGCAAGTCCCACCCTCAGGAGGTGGTAACAAGGAAGACATAGCCCAGGAGGTTGTGCCATGGGAGTCCTACCCCCAGGAGGTGGTGCCATGGGAGTCCCACCCCTAGGAGGTGGTGCCACGAGAGTCCCACCCCTAGGAGGTCATGCTATGGGAGTCTCATCCCCAGGAGGTTGTCCCATCCCCAGGAGGTGGAATCCCTGGGAAGAAGTGCAGGATACAGGTGCTGCAGGTTGGTGAGGACTGGCTTCTGGATCGTCTGGCCCTTGAGGAGATGGCTTGTGTCCTATTCAGTTGACAGCTGCTGTGAGCGAGGTGCTCTCAGGGAGTGTGCCTGCATCTGTCACCTCTCGGGGGACTAGGTCCCATCCCAATTTCTGGGAAACCAGGACATGACCTGGCCCAGATGTCATCTTATTCACATACAGCCTCAGCCACTAGGTTGTTCATAGGTCCATTTGTTTGAAAGGCAGGGTGTCAGGGTGGGGCAGCAGAGGGCACAGAGAGAGACCATTCATCCCACATGCTCACATCAGCCAAGGCTGGCTGGACCAAACCCTGGGGTGGGGGCTCTAGTTGATTCTCCATGGGAGTAACAGGGACCTAAATACTTGGGCTGGCATCTGTTGCCGCCTGGGGGTTAACCGGAAGCTGGATTGGCAGGGGAGCAGCACCTCTATTCCCTGTTGCCTCCACAAACTATCAGCCTCACTAGAGATGGCTTTCCCCGGAGCATGACCCCAACACGAGGAGGCCACACACTCATGTGGTGAGGACTGGTTGAGCACCTGCTGGGTGCCCAGTGCCCAGAAGATGCCAGAGGCCATGAGGACCTGGAGGGAGTGTGGGTGGGGCAAGCAGGGGGCTGTGGGCCTGGGTCTGGCAGCTGAGACAGAGCCACCTGGGCTAAGCATGTGTCAGCAAGCTCCTGGACAATGAGGCCGCCACCGGAGGCTCTGCTTAGGCTGGTGGGGAAGGTAGCTGTGGACATGGTCCTGCGTTGAGTTCTGCAGATGTGTTCATGAGGTGAGCGTGAGACATCATGCAGACCAGCAGGTGCTCGAAGGATGATGGGGACCTGAGGGTCTGAGACGCAGGGTGTCCACAGTCTGGGTAGTTTGAGCGGTAGAGGGACGCGTGGGGCAGGACCCTTGAAGGTACAATCTGCATTTTTGCTGCTGAAAAGTTAAGCATGAGGCCCCGGCGCTATCTTCTGGCATTTTCTTTGACATAATTCCAAATAGAGAAGGTTTGCAAGGACAGAGTTCCTGCTCACCTTGCCTTACTGTGCTTGCATTTCTCCCTACGCTTGGTCTCGCTCAGTACATGTGCAGTGATAATAATTTAATACACACATTTGTTGAAATGTACATGTGTTTTCTTTCCTGAATTGAAAAAAATTTTTTTAATTATTTATTTGAAAGAGTGACGCAGAGAGGCCGGGAGGGGCAGAACGTCCCTGTGAGCTGACCCTGGCCTGGGCCGGGTGGACCGCACCGCTCCGGCATAAGAGCTGCTGCTGTGGGGAATGACCAAGGTGCCGCGGACTGCCTGCCTGGGAGGTCAGCAGGGAGAGACAAGCAGTACATGTAGCCGCCCCGAGTCCTGTGCAGGAGCCCGGCCCCTGGCCTCCCACGGGCGTATGGGTGCAGGCAGGGAGGAGGAAGTGGCAGTCTCGGAGGCGACCTGGAGGAAGTGAGCAGCGGCCGCCGCCTCCCAGCCCCGCCACCAGGGAACCCGGAACCTGCCTGTCTGTGTCAGGAGCCCAGGCCGCCTGTCAGCCACCAAGACCTCCATCTCCCTGTGTGGGGAAGCAGCCAGGTGAGTCCCCCGGGCCCGGGGCCCTGGGCTGCCGGAACCTGCTGCCTGGCCGTGTGCTGGGTGCCGAAGGCCACAGCGAGGACCCAGATGGCACATGGAGAGGACACCGTGAGAGCTTAGCTGCTGGTGCACAGGGAGGGGGTGGAAGACCTGGAGACCCCGGGGTCCCTCCCTCCACCACTCAGAGGGGCTTGTGGATCTTTAGGGACCTTGGGGAGATCCACAAAGGGACGGGACTGGCCTAAGCCTCGTGGCCAGCGTGCGGAGTTGCTGCCTGAACCCAAGTCCTGAGGTCCAGGCGTGGCTCTGCGCTCTGCCCTGGCCTCAGCTGTCAAGCTGGTTCTCCATGTCCCCTGGGAGGCTTGGCAGGAGTGACCAGGGGCTGCGCGCTTCAGGGTGTCGGGGGGGGGGCTCCCAGAATCCTCCAGGAGGCTTGTCTGATGGCAGTGGCTCTGAAGGCCCCCTGCTTGGACCACCCCAGCTTCTCTGTATGAGCCCTGCAACCCAGGGGTCTGTCTATTTGGAAATGCAGGGGTGTGGCCAGGGCAGGAGAGGGAGGAAGGGGGAGGGTAGAGGGCCCTTGCCTGGGGAGGAAGTGGCCTCAGGGGACAGGAAGGAGGTCGCCTTCTGAATCTGCTTCCTTAGAGAGCATGATGAAGGCGATGGAGGGTCCTGGGGCCTCTGAAGTGCTGCCCATGGGTCAGAGACCGCCCCCCCCCAGGTTCCTTGCAGAGAGCCCACTCAGTGCCATGCCTGCACGGGGTTGGGGTGGGGTGAGGCTGGGCGGGCTTAGCCATGCGGGCCTTGGGCCAGCCTGAATCAGGCTTGGGGCCGGCTGGGTTCTGTCCCATGAGCTCACACTAAAGGGCTCTTCTCGGTCAGCCCCATTCAGGCTGCCCTGAGCCAGCCTGGGGTGCCCCAGGGCCCAGCCTGGGGGGTGTCCTGGGCCCTCCCACTCCCAATGCCTCCTGCCGCTCTTGGGCCTGCTGAGCACGGAATGGCTTCTCCAACGTGACATGTTTTGTCCTTGGACCCTCCAGGGCGGGTGAGCCAGAGGATGGAGTCAGAGTTCTGCCAGGGCCTGCAGCAGCTCCCCCAGGAGGTGCGGCCCCTCGTGGAGGGGAAGCTTCCACAAGGTGGGTGCCTCGACAGCCGGGGGCTGGGCAGGCGTGTGTGTGTGTGTGTGTGTGTGTGTGTGTACACCTGTGTGCAGAGCTGTCGGCCCCGAGGGTCAGGTGAAACCAACCAGCCCAGGTCCTGAGAGCCTGGACATAACGTTTGCCCTTCACCTCCCCGGTGACAACAGTGGACAGGGGTGGCAGATTAAGCACAGGCTGCCCAGACGGAGTTGAAGTTTAGGTAAACGGGGTGTCATTTTCAAGTTTCAAGGTGTGCTCAAGTATGCACTGGTGTCCCAAGGGGCCTGGTGCACAGACACGTGGGGCACAGCGTGGGTCGAGGCTGAGGCTTCCTGGGGTTGCTGGGGGAGTCCCCCACGATTCCATGCAAACTTTGCTTCCAGGGGAAAAGAAGAAATACCTGTCCCCCACAGCACGGAAGGAGCCCCGGTTTGAAGAGCTGCAGAAGGTACGACAGGGCCAGGAGCCAGGACTCCTCCAGGGAGGCCTCCTGGCTGACACTGCTGTCCAGCCCCAGAGGTCTGGCGGCTTATTTCCCATCCCATCCCTGCTCTCTCACTCCCTCCACCCACCTTTCCCATTGGAGCTAGCACACCTGGCACTGCTGTGCCCCAGGTCTGGGGTCCCTCTTGACACATCTGACAGGAATCTGAACTGCCTTCCGCAAGTCGACCCTGGGCACTCGGGCGCCAGGAACTGAGCTGGGTGGGTCTCAGGCAGCAGAGGGGAGGGGCAACGTGCAGTGAGTGTTGGAGTTCATTATGGCCATGGGAGCTCAGGGACCTCAGAAGGGCTCGGACGTCCCCTCCAAGTCAGGCTGCCCCTTTAGGGGCAGGACACAGGGGGGTGCCATCACCTTCCAGGGTAGCCCCCAGCAGAGCTGCAGGTGGTCAAGTGAGGGGCTGGGGCAGGACCCCAGCAGCTTGTGTGTCAGCCTCCGGGGCCATCACAGCCACATGGCCAGCTGGGTGCCCTGAACCTGCGGGAATGTGTCACGAACCGGGACGGGGCAGGTCCTGAGCCCGATGTGGGCAGCATTGGGCCTGCCCTGCCTCATTCCTGGGGTCCCTGCTTGGATGTCCATGGTGGTACACCCTGTGCACAGCAATGATGGCCCCATAGGGTGTCAGAGAAGGCCCCTAAGGGAGCCTGGAGGATCAGGGAGGCCTTTCCGGAGGTGGTGGCATCTGACCAGGCCTCTATGGATGGGTCGGGGGACAGGTGGGACAGAGTGGAGCGGGATGGAGCCAGGTGACCTCTGCTGGCTGTCTCGGGCTCACAGGTGCTGATGGAGTGGATCAACGGCACGCTCCTGCACGAGCACGTCGTGGCCCGCAGCCTGGAGGAGGACTTGTTCGATGGCCTCATCTTACACCACCTCTTCCGTAAGCCACATTGCTCCCGGTGGGGGCGGAGACACGGCTGTAGGTCTCTGCCCCTCCAGCCCCCACAGCTGGCGAGCATTTATCGAGTGCCTGCTGTTTACAGGCACTGGAGAGCACAGAATCTCCTGTCTCTGCTCTGAGTTGAGAACACAGAGGCGGGGGACTTGCGTCCTAGGCCTTACCCACCAAGTGACCATGGCTGTATGGGGATCCAAGGGGGCAGGGCAGGTCAAGGGCACAGGGGCTGGGAGGCAGCTCCGAGGGTGGCCACTTGCTCATATCGTGGCGGGTTGGGGGCTCGGGGCACTAGGGCTGAGGAGCTGGCCAGCAACAGTCCCTGCTAGGGCACTCCCCCGCCAGGATCCCCTCACAGCTGTCTTCTCCAGGCCCCCTCAGCTGCCCCTCCTGCCCACAGAGAAGCTGGCAGCACTCAGGCTGGAGGTGGAGGAGATGGCTTTGACCTCCACGAGCCAGCGGCGCAAGCTGGCAGTGGTGCTGGACGCCGTGAACCGCAGCCTGCAGGTGGAGGAGCAGCAGGTGCCGTGGAGCGTGGAGGGTACGTCTCGCACACGCACACACATATATGTACGTGCACCTTGCCTCCTCCACCTGCCCACTTGCTCCGTCTCACTGGGGCTTGATGCAAGCGACTCCCTCTCGAGTCAGCCGATTTCCGTGCTGCCAAGAGCAGCCATGAAGCCAGGAGCATGGCCAGGGAGCAGCCAGCCCAGTGCTCCTCTGTGCTCTGTGGGGGATGGGGCTGCTGTGGCCCCCACAGCCCCTGCCTCCTCCCTGACGGTCTGGCACTGAGAGCAGGACCCCCTCTGGGTTCCCAACACCAAGGTCCGGCATCCCCTGCCCACCGGGCTCAGGATCGTGTCTGCAGCACCTGCTTGTGAAGTGATGCGTTTGCAGGGCTCCTGGGTGCCCCGCCCACTTGCTAACAGGCGGAGGCAGGTTTCCCATCCCTGGCTCCTGTATCTCCCAAAACTGAAGATGAGAGAGCCGAGGTTGCGGGACGTAGAGGAGCTTCCTTCCAGCCAGTCAGAGGGAAGGGACGGTTTCCCAGGGTGACCCAGGTGTGTTGCACTCCAGACCCTTGCCACTGCATTTTACAATGCAGCCAGTCGGTCGGTGGCTGACGGTGCGTAGGGTTGACCCTGTGTTCAATTGTGGGCAGCTTAGTGATGGCTCTGTGACATGCCTCTGCTTCCGGGAGTGTGAGGGGCGCTGAACCTCCGCTGTCCAAAGTCCCACCTGCTGTGTCTGGGACTGGGAGCCCCAGGCCAGGTGCCACTGTCTTTGGGTTCAGGATTCTTGGGGTCTCCAGGCCCCTGGAGGAGCCCCTGGGTTTTCAAGGGAGGTCGTGCTGATGAGGAGGGGGAGCTCTCGGCTCTGATCTGTGCCCCTCTGCCCTCCCAGCCATCTTCAACAAGGACCTGCTGGCCACCTTGCACCTGCTCGTGGCCCTGGCCAAGCGCTTCCAGCCTGACCTGCCTCTCCCGGCCGACGTGCAGGTGGAAGTCATCATCATTGAGGTGACTGTCCACTCCGAGGAATTCCTGTTGGCTCCAGACTTCCACACCCTGCCCTGGGGGAGCTGCCTGCAGCAGAGGCTGACCCAGGAGGGGTGGGCTCCAGGGACCTGAGAGATACACCCATCCTCCTCCCCTGTCCCGAGATGGCATGGGGCACTGGCCCAGCAGAGACCCAAGAAGGTCATTGGCTGGCCATTTCCATCCGGCTAAGCAAGTGATAGCTGCCGGGTGAACTCTGAGGCGATGGCTGGGAGGTCTCACTGGCCGCTGGGAGCCTTCCCTGTCCGGGGGTATTGTCCCTCATCAGCTTAGTCCACAGCCATGGTACCACCTGGGTCCCTTCCTCCAGGAAGCCTGCTCAAATTTCTCCCACCATGGGGCATGCTGTGGTAGTCTGAGGGCTCTGTCCCCAGGCCGACTGCACACCATAAACAGGGGACCTCATATGCCCATTCCCAGGACACCAACCCCCAGCTCCCTGTGGCGCAGAGGTTAACCTTTGTCCTGCCGTAATGATAAACCCAGCCCTGACAGTCACTCCCACAGGTTCCCAGCCCCCTGGTTTACCATTCTGGGCTGGGAGGCTTTCTGATTTTGTTTATGTATCTTCCTTAAGTCCCACCCACCCACCCACCCACAGTCCTGACCCCTGGAACTGCACGCTGCCCAAGAGGGGGTTGGGCTGGGTTAACTGGAGGGGTGGGGTTCAGGCCCTGAGGCCACAGGGGTTGCTCAGCCTCCTCCTGGCTTCCCTCTCAGAGCACCAAGAGTGGCCTGAAGTCGGAGAAGGTGGTGGAACAGCTCACGGAACCCCGGTAAGGCAGCAACAGGGCCGGGATGCCTGGGGTCACCCACGGGGCAGCTCTGACCCCTCAGTCCAGCCACAGCTCACTCACTGTTCCCTCTTGCCTGCCCCCCCCCCATCCTGGGGTAAGACCCCGAGTTTCTGAAGCGGAGTCTGCCCAGTGAGTCAGAATGGTGCTTGGTCTATGAGGTCTTGCAGGGGCCTGCCTGGCCGGGCACAGCCACACCTGCTGACGGCCACGGCTTTCGCCTAGAGCAGCTGCCCCTGCTTGTGCCCATAGCTGCCCGGGTTGGTCCTAGGTCGAGGAGGTGACTTGCTTGAGACATGCGGTTCTCTTGCAGTCTGACATTACTGAAGGCCTAGTACCCACAGGGCAGTGGGCTGCAGGCTTCCGCCCTGATCCAGGTACAGAGAGGGCAGCAGCGTGCCCAGGGCCACAGAGCTGGGTGGGCACAAGCAGGGCCCTGACCTGGAGCTAGGCAGGGGTCACCTGGAGGGGACACAGGCCTTAGACTGTGAAGGAGCCACCCCTTGCTCCCACCACACCCATTGCATACCATCATCAAGGTCCCAGCTTGTTTCTGCCCCCTCCGAGCAGGTCTGCACTGGCCAGCCCCAGCGCCCCTCTCCGGCTGCTCCTTCACGTTCCCTCCCTGGCCCTGCCTGCAGAGTCAGGCGGCATCTCTGCTCCTTGGCCCCAGGTCCCGGCCATCCTGTGTCCTGCAGCGGACCAGTCATGCACGTGTACACACACACACACACACACACACACACACACACGCGCGTGCGCGTGCGCGTCTTCAAGCCTCCATGTCTGCCTCTGCTGACAGGCCAAGTACTACATCCTGTGGAAGGTTTTGGGGTTTCGTACAGGCGTCCAAGGCTGGGGCCTGGTGTTTCCCAGAGCAAGCAGAGCAAGAGCCATTGTGCACAGGGGTCCTGGAAGCGGTGCCCAGGTAGCCTAGCTGTCCGCCATTCCACCCTGGAGGGCCAAGGTCATGGGCACAGGGCCTGTTCTGGGACTCCAAGATGTCACTTCTCTTGGGCTAGGCAGGTTGAAAGTGTAGGCGCAAAAGCAAAGAGAAAAACATCCCAAAGCGAAAACTGAGTGAAGGCAGCGAGACCAGAGAGAGAGAGAGAGAGAGAGAGAGAGAGAGAGAGAGAGAAGCAGTGGGCAGTGTCTCAGCTGAGTGTCTGGGACCAACACAGAGACCCCTGGGTGTCCCCCTTGCAGGGAAGGGGGCATTGTGTCCCAGCATGGTGCATGCCTCCCCCTGCCCACCAGCCCCTCACCAACATGCCAGGCCAGGAGATCTCGGGGACCTGGCCCCGGCCTCGGCTTGGTGTCCTCGGGGTCCCCGCCAGTGTCTGTCAGCAGAGCTGCTCGGGTTTCTGGTGACATCACCAGTGTCCTGTCTTGTGGCAGCGCGAGGTCCAGCGGCGGCAGGGGGACAGGCTGCTTTAACCATGTCGTCTCTGCTTTCCCTGCAGAGCAGACGGGAATGAGCCCACTGGTGAGTACAGCCCCACGGAGGACTGGGCCCAGCTCTGGCGTGGCAACGGAGGCGCATGCGGTGTCCCCTGTTGCACTGCACTGTGGGCCCCCGGCCCCAGCCTCCTTTGCACCCTTGTCCATCCTCTGTCTCTGGCTGCGGGGTGGGACACTTCCTCTCAAGGCAGGCCCTCGCACCTGCACTAGCTCCCACGAGCCCTTGGGTGGAGCAGGGGTCTGAGCGGGCATAGGGCAGACCTGAAGAGGATGTCCACTGTAAAGGGATGGCCACCCCGAGGCCCTCCGGGGTGGCCAGCTGCAGTGCACGGCTGTGTCGCCTGCTATCCAACAGGTGCATCTCAGCAGATCCAGCCTGGGCCCCCGGGAGGTGCCGCCATCCCAGGCCACACAGCTAGGGGAGCAGGAAACTCCCTCTGGGCCAGTTGTTCTGAGAACTTTTTGTGGGCAAAAATGCCCTGGTTGGCACCCGGGTAATAGCCTAGTAATGAGCTGCTGGCGGCTGTGGGTCTGCAGGGGACGCCTTTCATGAATTATTCAAGCTGGCGCCTGAGAAAGTGAAGGCTGTGAGCGAGGTGAGATCAAAGCTCCCAGCCTGGGCTCCGCCCACCTGTTCCCTCCCTGGGTCCCTGGGTGCTGGCCCTGTGCTTGCTGTGTGCCACATGCGGGGTCCTTATTCTCCCTTGGGGGCAGGCCATCCTGACCTTCGTCAACCAGAAGCTGGAGAAACTGGGCCTGTCTGTGCAGAACCTGGACTCCCAGGTAGGAACCCAGCAGAGGGGGTCTCCCCAGGGAGTCCCAGGGAGGGAAGGACCTCAGGGGCAGCAAGGAAGGAGGGTGCCCTGTGTGGTGGGAGGAGCGCCAACTCTTGGACACTTGGCATCTCTCCTCACCCAATGGGAGTCCCAGGGGCTAGTGACTGGAGCCCATGTGGCAGCGTGGGCGTGCTTGTTGGCCTGTGCCGTGGGCTGCCTGAGGTTTGCACCGCGTGCTGTGGTCGGCACCGACATAGCTCACTCCGAGTGAATGACAGTGGTCCTCAGGCCACCAGGACTCTGCTGTGTGATGGATGGGTGGAGGTCTCCCCCAAGCCCGGGATTGATGGCTTATGAGGGTATTAGCCAGGGCTTGCACTCTCCTGACACCCTCTGCGCTCCGTGGCTGAGACAAAGCACCATGCCCGAGTTGCCTTACCATGACTGCCTGCTGGGGGCCTGCTACCACCCATTTTCCAAATGCCAACACTGAGGCCCTGAGAGAGACTAATTAATGTACACAAGGTTGTGCAGTGGTTAAATGCTGTGCCTGGGGTTTGAACCCAGGCAGCTGGGGCCAGGATTTGTGCTCAAAGCCCCATGTCCCAGGGGAGTGATCACATGGAAGCTTGTGTGTGGCATATTCTGGCTACATGGTGGGATGGGGAGCAGCGGCCCCGGAAGCCAGCTGGGCTCTTAGGTGTCTGTGCTGCCTCCCCAGGGCTCCAAGGCCACTGCACTTGTGTTGGCTGTGTGACCTGGGCCAGTTCCTGGGCTCCTGTGCTTCCGGTTCCTTGTCCTGTAAAAATGGTATAAGGACCCCGGCCTCGTGGGATGCAGGGTGCATACAGGGTGGCCGGGACATGACCCAGCTCGCCGAGGGACGCAGGGGGGTGACAGATACGTGGCTTTCATATCTGTGCTGTGGCTGAAGCGGGGTTTTGAATGCCTCATTTTTTTCCTGCACCCCGGTCAGCGGGGCTCCTGGGGGAGGGGCTGGTTGCACACAGCGCTGGCATTCAGGAGGAGCGAGCGTCCCTGGATTCTCATCCTCTTACCGGGACGTTTCAGCAGAAAGGATTAGTCCAAATTAATCACATTGAAACGGACTTACTAGCAGGAAATTCCGTTAGGGGACTAAGGGGTGGGTCCCCTCCAGGATCCCGTCTTGGGTTTTGCATCTTTGAAGAGATTTTAAGGGATTATATTAGCATAGGACATGCTGGTGGCGGGCGGACAGGGATGGCACCTTTATCTATGAGTGCAGAAAGAACAGACAGAAATATTAATGCAGCTGAAGCAGCCCAGACCGCCGTTCTCGGCCCTTCCCTGGTGGAACAACCATACATGGAGCTGCTTGTGCTGGGTCTTGCGTCGTTCAGAAAGTGCTGTGAGGAGCTCTATATTGAGCACTATGAGCCAGACAGCCCTAACTGGTGGGCACTTGCTGTTTGCAACAGCCCTGTAAGGGCAAGGATGCTGTCTCCGCTGCCCAGGAAGGACCCCAGCTCAGAGGTCGGGTGGCTTCCTCAGGCCCCACAGCCAGCAGAGGGCAAAGCTGGAGCTGCTTGTCACTGAGCTGCTTGTCCCCGTCCCCAACCAGAGCCTGCAGCTCCTTGCCCTCCCAGTTTGCAGATGGAGTCATCTTACTCTTATTAATTGGACAACTGGAAGGCTTCTTCCTGCACTTGAAGGAATTCTACCTCACCCCCAGCTCTCCTGCGGAAATGGTCAGTTTCTCGAAGCTTTCTTGGGTGGCTTCACAGAGCTGAGTGGTTGGCACAGCCTTTGTTCAGTCACTTCCAGGTCAAGGGTGTCAGGGAGGGGAAGTCTCCTGGTCTAAATGCCTGTCCATCCATCCGTCTACTTATTTGCCTGTGCATACATGCATCCATTTATTCATCAACCTATTCACCTATGCACAATCTCTCCTTCCACACAGCCACCTATCCACACACCTATCCACCCATCCATCCCTCCACCCATCCACCCATCATTCATCCATCCATCCATCCACCCATCCACTCATCCATCCACCCATCATTCATCCATCCATCCATCCACCCATCCATCCACCCATCCACCCATCCATCCATCCGTCCATCCATCCTCCCATTCATCCACCCATCCATCCACCCATCCATCCACCCATCCATCCATCCGTCCATCCATCCTCCCATTCATCCACCCATCATCCTTCTATCCACCCATCCTTCCATTCACCCATCCACTCATCCATCCACCCACCCATCCTTCCATCCACCCACCCATCCATCCATCTACCCACCCATCCATCCATCCACCCACCCATCATTCATCCATCCATCCAGCCAGCCATCTAGCCATCCATCTGTCCATCCACACATCCATCCATTTACCTGCTGTGTGGCACCTGCTCAGGGAGTGAGCTCCCCATCTCTGGGGACTGTAAAGAGACCTGGATAGCCACTTCTGTGGAGCAAGGATTGAGGTCTGGGCCATGGACTGGGCACCGCTCACTGGCCTGTGTGTGGCCTTGTCATTCCAGCTACATAATGTCACACTGGCCCTGGAGCTGCTGAAGGACCACGGCCTCCTCCACCACCCTATTAACCCAGAAGGTGAGAGCTCGGTGGGCAGGTGGGTGCCATGGGTCCCCAGGTGGCCTGTTCTGTGAGTGGTGGAGACCGTGGGGAATGGAGGAGGCTGGCCATCCAGAGAAGCCAGACCTTGCAGACTCCTTTGTGCTGGGTGCACTCCTGAGGGTACAGGGAGGCAGCATCAAGTGATGGGCAGTGGCTGCAGGCCCGCTGGGACCCAGTGCTCTGGCTGGTTGTGAGTCCCGCCTCCCGGAGAACCCCTGGTTCTCCCACAAGGGGATGGGTGCTCACCTGCCCCACCGGTCCACAGCCATCGTCAACAAGGACGCCAAGAGCACACTGCGCCTGCTCTACTACCTATTTCGCAAGCACAAGCTGGACGTGGACCAGGTGCCCCATGGAACCCCGAATTAACTGTCACTGCTGGCCCCTCTCCCCAACCCTAGGACCCAGCTGCAGGGCCGCAGGCATCCCACGCTGTCCGCACAGATTTGGGCCTACTCGGCAAGGGGTCTGCTTCCAGGCAGCCACTGCCTTGCTCTGTTTATCTTAGCACAGGCATTGTGGGAGGACACTGGGCTTGGGTTAGTGTCCTGGGAGGGTCCCAGCTGGGTGCAGAGGGGAGCTGAGCCCTGATGCTGTACCTTGCCCACACTGGTGTACATGAGGGATCCTGGAAGGCATGGACCCTGTGGTGGCTGATGTCCCTCGTGGGGACCAGGACCCAGGGCCTAGGCAGCCCAGTCATTGGGCATTTGGACAAAACTCGGAAGAAGCAGTCTCTGGGGCCTGGAGGAGGGGTTCAGGTGATCTGTTCCCAGGGAGCAGCCACACCCTTCCTGGGGTCACCTGGCATCTTCCACAAAGAAGGCTTTCTGTGATTCAACTATGGGGTCTGACACAGGTACAGCCTTGTCACCACCACAGAGCAGTCCTCCAGCCCCAAGGCCTGCATGCCCTGTGCTGCCCAGCCACCCTGCTGCAGCCCTGCCCGGGCACCCCAGGCTGCCTGCTGTCTGCCTTGTGCCTGCATGGGCATTTCCTATAAACCTTTTCCCAGGAAGCAGCTTCTGGTCTGGTTTCTTTCACTTAGCACAACACTGTTTGCATGCATGGTTTCTTGCATCCAAACCATCCCTTTGTATCACCAAGCAGAGCAAGGCAGGTGGACGCTGTATCACTGAGCACAGCACCTCAGGGGATCACTATAATCACACTGCAGGGAGCTGATCAGCAAGCTGCAAGAGTGGACGCTGTATCACTGAGCACAGCACCACAGGGGATCACTATAATACTGAGCACAGCACCGCAGGTGGACGCTGTATCACTGAGCACAGTACCACAGGGATCACTATAATACTGAGCACAGCACTGCAGGTGGAGGCTGTCTCCTTATTCATTGGTCAACTCTCCCCCCACCTCATCTCCTATCCTCGTCCGACTCCAGGTACGATGTGTTAGGTGGCTTCGAGGTTGTCCCTGTCACAGACACACACTCGATTTTCAGTGTCTTCTCTCCATTTCATTGATGGCTTCTTGCTGCATTTTCAGGTTTACTGATTTTTTAAAAGATTTATTTACTTTATTATTATTTGAAAGGCAGCTACAGAGAGAGAGAGAGACAGATCTTCCATCCTCTGGTTCACTCCCCAAATGGCTGCAATGGCCAGAGCTGAGCTGATCAAAAGCCAGGAGCTAGGAGCTTCTTCCAGGTCTGCCACTTGGGTATAGCTGCTGTCCCAGGTCCCTCAACAGGGAGCTGGATCGGAAGTCCGGCAGCCAGGACTTGAACCGGACCCACAGGGGATGCTGGCACCCCAGGTGAAGGCTTAGCTTATTGCCATGGCATCAACCTTTGCTTTTTCCTTCTGGGGTGTTCATTCTGGTTTCTAGTTCAGTCATTGTCATTATATTTTGAATATCTTTTGAAATACCTTTCATCTCTCATTGCACGCTGGCTTTCTGCTTCCATCTTGAGAACACAGGGTGATCCGTGGTGTCCCGGCAGCCTCAGCACCGGTTCTGGCTGTGTTTCATGTCCTCCTAATGCTAATTAGATGCTGGGCACTGTGAACATTTACACTATTGAGCACTAGACTGTTTTTTTAAAGATTCATTCCAGTTTTACTTGGAAGAGAAACAGAGAGCCCTTCCACCTGCTGGCTCCTTCCCCAGAGGGCCGCAGTTTGTGGAGCTGGGATCCTCTTCGGAGTCACGCACGTGGGTGTAGGAGCCCAGACCCTAGGAGCCATCCTCCACCGCTTTCCCAGGCGCCTTAGCAGGGAGAGCTGGATTGGAACTGCGGGGACTTGAACTGGCGTCCGTATGGGCTGCTGATGCGGATGGAAGCTTAGACTGATGTGCCACAGCACCAGCCCCGGACAAAAGATGTTAAAGAGCCATCCTGTTGCAAGCTTCGAATGTTCTCTGAGATGCGGCAGGGGTCAAGTTGGATCCTGTCACACTCCATGGGGGCAGGTCCAGAGCAGACGTTAGGATTTCCGGGGCCACGTGCGACTGTGGCAGCCTCCCTTTGCCTTCCGGGTAAGGAGCTCTTCCTCGGGGGCTGGTGGGATCATAAGCCACGCCCCCTCGAGCCCCAGGGACTGGGTTTCAGTTGGGAAGTTCACACACGTGTGGGCGGATGGGCCTCAGACCTTGAGGCTATTGCTGGCCAGTGTCTGCATCTTCCCCTGCATGGCTGCTGCTTCCCTGGTGGCGGGCAGCCTTGTTTGTCCCACAGCCCAAGTCCACTAAGGCCGCGCTGCGTCCTGCTTCCCTTCCTCGCAGGGCAGCCTGGGTGCCCTGTCCAGCACCCCGCCCCTCTCTCAGGGCTGCTGGCCCTGTTGTCCCGCGCCTGAGAAACGCTGTGTACGCAGGGAGAGTCAGACCCTGCCCTCCCATGGTGGCCCGAAGCCAGAGCCCTGCCCTGCCAGGGCCATGCCCATCCTCCCCCAGCATCTCGGACACTGCCTTCTGTTTTCTCCATGGCCTCCCTGGACGGCGCTGGGTCAGGTCTGATCTGCCAGCACTACCTGCCACCTGATGGTGTCTCCACCTGCTTCTATACTTCCTGTGTCTCCTCTGTGTAGGTCACCGCCTCCCCTGCAGCTCCTGCTCCTTTCAGGAGCGTACTGATGGCTGTAGCAAAGCACAGACACCAGAGGAGGCAGTGTCCTGGCTGCTCCCCAGGGCTCAGTCCAGTAGCCGTCAGGACATGGTGGCTATTGTGCAACCACGGCCGCTCTTGCAAACAGCCCCTCCCCTTCCCAGCAACCACCGTGGTGCTCTCTGGCAAGGCACCGGGCACCACTGCCCTGGGCGTGGCCGCTTCCCCTGCTCACCTGGCCCTGCCTCTGCTACGGGATCTTGCAGGGCGGGGGTTCCTGGCCTCCCGCTTGGAATCCGGTCCTCCCCTGCTCACGCCCAGGCCTGTATGCTCTGCCTCAGCGTCTTCCACTCCTTCTGCTGCCCTGCCCCCTCTGCTTCCACTGCACCTGCAGCCAGGTGTCGGCCTGTGTCTGCTCTGGGCCTGCCCGGGCCCACCCTTGGGCAGCACCCACAGTGTCCTCTCCCCACGGAGCTCTTTCCAGGTTTTTCTTATTATCCAGGATGCCTCATCCTCACAGACGAGCAGTGACGGGGAAGGGCTGCGTGGGCGTGTGGAGGGAGGAGGAGGGGGTGTTCAGCACTGGGGGTGGGGCTGGGGGAGGAAGCGGCTGCAGGGGCGTGGGGGAGGGAGCCCTATCTCTCTCGCGTCCCTATCTGTGAACCCCCTCCTCACTTCATCTGACTCCCGACTGGAGCCGACCTGAGATGCAGCGGAAGCTGGAAATGGGATAATTGGAGTGGGCTGTCCTGGAAGGCTGCCAGGCCAGAGGCAGCTCCGGCAGCCTCCGCTGGGTGTGCAAACAGGCTCGCCGTGACGGGAAATGCCTCGAAGGCCGGGTACCTCCCAGTTGAGCCGCTTCCCAAAATACTCCAGGGGGCAGCTGTCTGGCGTTCTGAAAGTGGCTCTGGCTGCCTGAGCCACAGGAAGCCCCAGGCCCCACACTGGCCTCGCCGCCGCTGCTGGTATACCCAACAGATGGTGCTGAAGGGTTTTCTTTCTTTTTCCCAAGTCAGCTGGAACGCGAACAGCTTGTCTGCGGGGAAGTGGGTCCTCCCTCCCCTGCCGGCTGCCCATCAAAGCCCTCCACCCCCGCTTGCCTGCTTACTCTGCTCAGGGTCCTGGCAGACTGTGCGCCGTCTTCATGGGGGCTGGGCTGTGGGGAGCAGCGACAGCAGGTGACAGGGAGGGCCTGGAACTGATCTTGCAGGGAGCGGCCGGTGACCCGGGGTGGGTGGCAGTTGCCATTGGAGGGGGATCGTTTGGACAGCTGCACAGATGACATCACCCAGCCCACCCCTGCTGTGTTCCTGCCCGGGGGCTCAGCGCAGGGAAAGCAGAGTGTCCAGGCTGTGCCCGAGGGAGCTGGCCGCCCGGGCACAGGCCTCTGGGCACTGCAATGGAGAGGGCACACTGAGGGAGGCGCCCTCTGCCTCAGTTTCCTCCTCTGTCAAATGGAAGTGAAGAGGGCTGGAGTCCTCTCAGGCCATCGTGGAGGGGAGAGAGTCCTAAGGGGTCTTCAGGGAGCTGGATGGGAAGTGGAGCAGCTAGGATACAAGCCAGCGCCCATGTGGGATGCTGGCGCTTGCAAGGTGGGAGGATTTAGGCAATTGAGCCATTGTGCTAGCCCCTTTTAAATTCTCAAAGCGGGGCCCTTGCAGCTGGCACTGGACCTCCTGGGTTGGGCCTTAGGGCCCTTGCAGCTGGCACCTGGCAACCGCCTTAGGGTTGTTGTTATAACCCCCCAGCTAGATCTGGTCCGGGTCTATGATATGACAGGGTCACAGCAGTGTCCAGTGACCTGGTGAGCTGGCAGTGGTTTCTGGAACAAGCAGGAGGGACGTTGGGGAGCCAGAGTGGGTTTGCTGAGTTCCTTGGCACACCCGCCTCCCCGGGACAGCAGCTTGCAAGGGACTCACGGTCACGGCTGTGTTTGTATTCACTGGTCAAGAGGGAAATGTTTTGTGTCTTTTTGCTAAAGCATCAAGCTTCCCGCCGCTGCCTACCTTCACCCTCTGACTTCCCTGAGAGAAAACACGTGAGTGTGGGGCCCTGGAACTCCTGGACCTGGGGCAGTGCAACGCTGGGCACAAAATACTCGCCCTCCAGGCAGGGGCAAGACCCCTGTGTCTCTGGCAGGACAGTGCAAGTGTGGATCCTAACACACTTGGCAGAAGGTCCCCAGAGCTGCCATGTGTGTAAGAATAAAACTGCATGGGAGAGACGGTAGCACCAGGCAGGCACCCACGATGTGCTGCTGCCAGCTGGGCTGCTGGCAGATGCTTCGCCAAGTCCTGCTTGGCACTCGCGACTTGGAATCCTGTGGGAACCACGGATGGGATGAGGCCTCGCAGAGCCCCAGCCTGTGCAGCTGCGGGCCTGCCCCACCAGGGCAGCTGAGGGGGCATGCTGGCTCCCTCAGGGAGCAGAAGCTGAGAGTGGGCAGGAGGGAGGCCCCATCGGAGGGCTGCTCGGCCCGTGCCCACATTCACCAGGCACTCCTGCTGCAGGCCACGGGTCTTGGGTGAGTGGGGTGAAGCCAGTGAGCTCGGCGTGTGTTTGCAGAAGTGCAGGAGGGCCCTGACTTGCCAGGAGAGCAGGTGTGAGAGCCCCAGGGGGCAGGGGGCAGGGGGCAGGGCAAGGCCAGGGGGTGAGAGGGAGGCGGGTGGACTTGGGCTTTGTGAGCAGGTGCTTCACTGAGTATGTGGTAAAAACGGAATTGGAAGCCGAGTTTGCCTCCGGTGCATTTTTCATGAATTTTCGTTTCAGTTATTGAAGAGAGAAGGCACCCGATTGTTCACTCCCAAATGCGTGAAACGGCCCGGGTCTGGGACCTGAGACTTGGATGCAGGTTTCCCTGCATGGCTGGTGGCGATCCAGTTGCTTGAACCATCCTGCCTGCCTCCTGGGAGCTCCTTAATAGGGCGCTGGGCTGGAAGTGGAGTGCCCAGGCC